CCGTGCATGTATGGTATATTTGACAATAAAGCTGACTTTACTTGATATATTTTTTTGTCTTTTTAGTGATAGATAGACAGGACCCAGCCCATAGTATAGTGGTTCCCAACCTGAGGGTCTGGACCCCCACTACGGGTCGCCATAGCTTCAGAGAGGGTCGTGAGGCCTTCTTGAATTTAATCGGTGTAAGAAATCTTTAAAAATCTTTAAAATATAACACAGTAAGCGTATATCTCAACATTATATCATCAGTACTATTACCACCATCTTGCAACTACAACTTCTTTGCACCTTATCTACTTATTTATCTTATTTATTTTATAAGTATTTTATTCTATTGTTGTGTTTTATTGTATTTAAATGTACCTGGCTGCTATGACGACCCAGTTTCCCTTCAGGGATTAATAAAGTCTATTTATCTATCTCACTATTATATTAATTACTGTGAGGACATTTTAATCAATTTGGTTAAAATGTTATTTTGGAAGTTTAGATTTTTATTTTAATATTTAGATTTTTTTAAATTTTAATTTATAAACTTTGAAGACCAGAAAACGAGCTGTATTTACAGAACCTTCACTCTCTGATCAACAGCCTCGTCCAAACGTACGGCAAGCGGAAAGCATTATATTTGTCACACACAAAAAAAGAAGCCTGTTAAGTAAATTTAATTGATAATTGCATAAAAATATCAGGAAAACTCGTCTCTGATCAATATTCACAGGAAACACATTTACTTGGAAAAGTCCCCATGTAACTAAAATAACATTACATTACTGTGGGACATTAGTATAAGCATCCAGTATGAATATCTCAAGGTGGCATTAGAAATGAATACGTTATTTTATCTTCAAATCTTCAGACATTTGACCAAAAACGTGTCTTTTTTCATTGAATTTAAAGGACCAGTGTGCAGGATTTAGTGGCATCTCTTTGTATTTCTATTCGTACCCCACTGAAAAGATGAAATGTACTTTTTGTATAATCTACTGTCTTTTTGGGAGCATTAGTGATGACAAGAACAGAGCTTCATTCACCAGCTACAAGAACAAGTATGCAGTTTTTCTCTACTGTATGTTTAATGGTGCCTGAACGCAGCGTTCCTTATGACACATATCCAGGCACTTACAGGCAGATCATGTTCTTCATACACCGCTAACCATTCAGCCCATGGAACCATAACATTAACCAGCAATAACACAATTCAATCAGCAGATTTTGGTAGCCTTCAGTCCTCAGTGTGGGAGAAAGCTGCTGCTGCTCCTGAGAGTTACAGCTCAGGGCAAAAAAAAATACACGTGGATTTAAATAAGAGCCTTCACTTGTTCAGGTGTCATTTTGCGCCCTCTAGTGGCCATAAAAAACCCTCACTCAATTGTTGAACAGTTGAATTATGAGCTATTTTCCATCAGTTATAGTCTCTATAGTTTTTATTACTTCTTTATTCAGGAATCTGGACGTGTTTGCTCTTCCTACGCACTTCTCTACATACATTAATCTGTAGAAGTTACACAGAAGAGCTCCTTTTAAAAGTATTGTTTGGATATTTTTGATGGCAGAAAGTAAAGTGGTAAAGAATAATAGTGGTTTACATTATATTGATGCCTTATAGGGTCCATCTATAATATTACATCATAAATTATTTGTTGATTACATTTTATTTATTGATTAGAATCTAAAAAGTGACAAGATTTGCCTCTGAATTGTAGTAGTACACCAGAACAGTAGTAGACCTACTACTCTACTCTGACCCTTTGTACTGCAGTGCCCTCTACAGGTCTTTTTTTTGCCCTTTAGAGGTATTTTTTGCCCTCTACAGATCTTTTTTTGTCCTCTAGAGGTATTTTTTGCCCTCTACAGGTCTTTTTTTGCCCTCTAGAGGTCAGAATGAAGCTGAAAGGTAATTTAAAAGTGTGAATTGACGACACCTGTTGAGACGCCTGATGATAAACGTGTGATCAGATCTCAGTCAGACAGCCAACACAAGCTGAAGATGCAGTGTGTTGCAGTGATGTGGCTTCTGTTCTTCATCTGCACGTTGACAGGTAAAGACTGAAGTTTTCAGACTGCAGATGTTCAGCTAAATAATTATTTTCTCTTTCTTTTGATGTAGTTGACGCTGTCCCCATAAATCGAACCCACGAGTCTAACAGTCATTCCCCAGGTTGGTGTTCACTGGATTTACTTTTTACATTTGCTACAATATAAAGGATCATTTATGAGGAGATGTTGCTTTAATACATACTAAATATGCAAAAATAATTACTTTTACTAGCTCAAATTAACTGGATTTCTCTTTTTCAGTTGGTGTCGTTTCCTTAAATGACACCCAGAATGCAACTAGTCCTGTTCCAGGTTGGTGCTCGTTGGTTTTTAAGAATTTCTTGTGTGTTTAAAACAATATGATTTTAAATTCTCAGATTTCTGCAGGTACAGTTGTTTCAGTGATTGATCTGCCACAGCAAGTCAGTCCAGAGACCTTAGAAGGTAAAATAAATAATGTTACACGTTTTAAATATACAAAAATTAACCTTTTTTAAAAAAAATATAAATACAATGCACAACTACTTATTTTCATCCTCTGACTACTTCAAGATGACATGATTGTCCAAGAGGGAGACATTTTGATACCGGTGAGATGGATAACTTCTTCTTTAAATTATTTTCCAGGACCTTTCCAGGCGTTTTTCTTGACAATACAGGAGAGCACTTGCTTACAAATGGTCATACAAGCTGCATTTCCAGGCAAATTGAACACCACTAATTTGGTGCAAATCCAGTAGAACTTATTTTATTTTACAGAAACGTCTCGAAAGTGTTCATTGCACATATAATTAAGATCACTGCATGTGTTTATCAACCACAACAATAAGACATTTGATCATTAATAGGCTGTATTCATGTAGAATTTCGCTCGCAGCTCTGAAACAAAAAAATAAACACAATACCGAAAAGATCATTGCAAGTCAGATCCAGTTTACATCTGATGAACCTTCTTTGAGGTTTACATAACCTGATCTTAGTGAGGGGCTGAAATACAAACATTTCAGGGATATTTTAATGAATTTCCAGCCTTTCCAGGACGAATGGGAACCCTGATAACTGCAAGAAAAACGTAGTTTCTCCTGTGAATTTTAAGATTTTAGGAAACGTCACTTCACCAACATTAAGATAAAACTTGCTTGATACAAAACATTTGTCTTTTTGAGTATATACTTGTTCAATATAATATATAATTGCAGAATTTATCAGTTTCAGTTACTGGAAACTAAAACTATTAAGAGATTTCAAGAGGTTTTGTAAGGAACTGATGAAACCGTGGCGATAATGCTTTAATGTTTTCTGCTGCCTGAACCCACAGGAGGACAGGAATGCTGTGGAGACCCTGTGGCCAGACGCCGTCGTACCTTTCGCCATCAGTGATGAACTGGGTGGGTCGTTGTGGTTCTAACCGGTGAAGACATTTGAGGCCGCTAGAGTGTAATAATGAAATGGTGTCTATGTTTATCCCTCTAACAGCTTATCAAGAGTCAAACATCTACGCTGCCTTCAAGATGATATCAGATTTCACGTGCATTCGCTTCCAAAGGCACACCACAGAGTTTAACTACCTGAAGTTCAAGGATGGCAATGGGTGAGAAGTGTTTGGTTTCTATCCATGCAAAGAGTTTTAATTTGCTTGGCTGCTACAAATAAGAATGAATCATGAACATTTTAGAAGATTACAGTGTTTTCAGTCACATGTTGCACATTATCATTAACAACCTTTTTTAAAATGGTTATATTTTATAATAAAAATCAACTCCAGTAATGTAAGAAAACAACCAAACAATTCAAGTAAGATTAATTAACTCAAGACACTTTAAGCCATACCTCTATATAAGTCTGGACAATATCCAGTTACATATAGGCTTGTATGCCACAACATATGGCAAGGAGCAAGGCCACAAAGAACCTTTTTTAAAAGTAATCAATAATCAAATAAAATCCATTCTTTCTAAGAAGTAAGGACAGTAAGAGGCTAAACTATTTATTTTATTTTATTCTATCCAATTACAAGCCAGACCAAATCGTCACTTTGTTTTTTTACTTTTATTATTTGAATTGTTTTTAAAAAATCAACCTGGAACTCAGATATTCAGATATAGTTGGTTGACCACGGTTGATATCGCTGCTGTTTTAAGTTTTTATAGGAACTATTTCTCCATCTCTCTCAACTGCTGATGGTATGAAATGGGGAGATTCTGCTGTTTGATTATCTCCATATTGGGGTGCAGGCAGAAATCTGTAAATAAACCAGGACTGATGGTTTAATAGACTTTTAGTTTCTCTCTCTCTCTCCAGCTGTGCGTCCTTCGTTGGCTGTCGAGGAGGACCCCAGCCGGTGTATTACTCTCGGACCTGCAGTGTGGGGAATCTCTGCCATGAGCTCATTCACGCTCTGGGGCTGCATCATGAACACACCCGGCAGGACCGGGATCAATACATCAATGTGCAGTGGCAGAACATCAAACCAGGTAAACACCTCAGCCAACGTTAGTTTTAACTGTGGTTCTCTGTATGAAAAACACGAGCTGGGACCAAATAGTTTGTACAGTCTGTAATAATCAAAGCTGAAATTATCTTTTGTTGATCCACAGGGGGAAGACACAAAGTCCCATTATTATGTTAATGTCTGCTACTGTGGAATTATTTAAATTCACCTCTTTTGAGTTACATGAAAAAATATTCAAAGAACAGAATAGTGTTGTTAACTGTGTTAGATCATAATCTCTGCCTTGCTTTGTCCCTTACTGATCTTTATACTGTCACAAATATCTTTATAAATGGGCTCAGCAGGTGGTCTGCTAAGCTCCCCTGGCCCAAGGACACACAGTGGGTCACATGTTCATGATCAAAGGATGAAACAGTACAAAGACAAAAGGATTCAACTGTGTCAAGATAACAGATGAAGGAAAATAATTGTGAAAGGTTAAAAGAAGCAAAGGCAAACAGAAACTTCTGGATTCAGAAGTAAGGAACCAACATTCAAAATCCAATTGACATTTTATTAATGTCAGCTAATAAAAAATGGCTTATAACAGAGCATTTCTCAACAGTGTATAACGTAGCTCGCTCCATGCGTTTAGATAAAGACGGTAATTTGTGAAAAAACACAAACACCATTTCCCATAAGCCTTAGATTTTTGCAGGTTTAAGTCCATAAACAAGTCGAAGGCTTGTGGTTAGTTTAGGTATGTCTGTAAAACACTTTTTAGACAGCAGAGATTCAGCTATAATGTTCAGAAAAAGACTAAAAGAAGAGGTTCTTTTACTACTTCTGTAGTGGATACAGATTTGTCTTTAGATTACAGAAAGTTGACCCTTTTTCAGTGACAGATTAAAGAAGTTACAGAAGCTAGGGGAAGTAGAGGCTAGCCGGGGCGTGAAGTCTTGACTTTTCCTCGCCAATTAAATAACAAATAACTTAACTTAGCCTTCACATGACACTGTTCACACTTCATTTTCCATGCCACTGGTATGTATGAAACATTTGGACAAAGCTACTGTACTTTCAACTGTCTGCATGGCTTGAAAGGATCATTTGGAACATTTTGTGTTTTTTAAAGGGAGACAAAAGAACTTTGAGGTGAAATCGGGGAACACTCTGAACCTGCCGTACGACCTCAACTCCATAATGCACTACGGAAAGTAAGTCCTGACCCATCCTCATTTCTGTGGACGGTTTTAATGACGGCAGGTGGAAATGCTCCGGGAGACTAACGTAGCTCAGTCACCTGCATACAAATGTATCTTTGTGTACATCTTGGGATCTTTACATTGTAATACAAACAAACAAACAAAATATAAATAGTCTGCTTGGACCAATGTGTCTGATCTACAAATAAAGTATAATTTCCACATTAAAATCCTTTTTAAAAAGTCATCTACTCCTTCTACCTCATTAAAAATATCTATGAATATGCATTTCTAAAGTTTTCCACTGTACTGAACAAGAAGAAAAACTACTTTTGAGCAAAGGCAGACTTAAATATTTTGTCCTTAGTGACTAATCTTGATTAGCATGAACAGGGTTTTTTTTTTTTCCTTCACAGTAATAAGGCTTGCTGTGTGTGTATATATACATATACATTTTATTTATTTTATTTTCTGGTTTTGCAGGTTTTTTTTCAGTGTAAATGGAAATCCGACGGTGTTGCCCAGCTACAGCGGAGAGCAGATGGGTCAGCGAACACATCTCAGCCCTCTGGATATACAGAAACTGAACAAACTCTACCACTGTGGTAACAACCTCTACACTACTGTTTCACATAACTCTGTTCTAATGTATGACCAACAATCAAATGCATATTTAGAAAAGTATTCCAGCAATACTAACACATTTCTTTTTTCAGATCAGCGTAGCAAATGGCATTGAGCGGGCTCGCTGTTGGTTAACCTGCGTTTTGCTGAGAGATTGAATAAAAATGAAAAAAAATCCTATTCTGTGTTTTATTCTTTGAGCTATACCGTCCAACCAAAGTACGTCAACTTAACCCCTGATAGCTGAAAGGTCTGTAACACCCGAGGGTAGAAACGTTCTACTCTGAGCAGAGCTTGAGCAAAAACAAACTGTAGCAGGTCTGGACCAATTTGTGAAGTTTGTAATTTAGGCACTTTAGTAAATTATAAACCAACTACCAACTTTTTAGATTAAAGTACCAATTTCATTATGTTAACATGTGTCCCTTTTAGTTTAGTTTACAATGTTGAGCGAGAGAGGCGTTGATTATTATTTAAGATATGAATCTTTTTAGAAAGGCAAACAGGACAAGCCTTCATTAAAAACGCCTCATCCTACATTAGAAAAGTACGCACTTAAAACAACCAAAGAGCTAATAGAACAAAGAAGAAAACCCTCAATGTGTCTAAAATAGAAGCCTAGTATTTATGATTGTTAAAAACACAAAAATACAGACAGAATTTTTGTTTTACACAAGCTTTCTGCAGTTATTGTTCCCTATTTGGGTTATTTTTGCAGTTTCAGTTATGTGCTGTTATTGTTATGCATTACATATACATAATATTAAATATCCATGAAATATTTCACTTAGTCTAATAAAAAAGGGTTGGGAACCATTGTTCTGTACACCCAGTAGCCACTTTATGGAGCACCTGTGCAGCCTCATGCCTTCCAATACAACTATTCTGCCATAAAGTCCACTTTTATGATACCTGTGATGTTTAGTTTCAGTCATTACAATGATGTTTTAGTGTTTACGTCATGGTCAGTGATATTGTACAGCACTGCATTATATTTAGAGGTGTTTCTAATATTCTGACCCCCTCGTGTAAACGCCTCAATATAATACGTACCTTTTACTACAGTATGTCAGTATTAAATATGATTGAATTTAGACACAACTGACAACAACTGAACATTATAAACTGTGAAGGTAGAATTTATGGCATCTTATCCTCTTTGCTATCACAACAACATTCTTACATACTTGCATACTTACATACTGCTGTTAATACGCAACAATAGTACAATAATGATCTCTATGATAACAGAAGGTATACAACAACAACACAGATCTAACAATAGACGTCTGTTCTTCTAGCAACCATCGCTCTGTACAACAGACGCCTCCTGTACAGAAACCTGTCTGACAGACCACCTACAGTGTGAGCCTGTCTGTGTGAGACTGGTTTTGTCTGTAGGAGGAGCTAAAAGAACAGGCCGTCTACTGTACACTATGCAAGAGGAATCACTCTTACATCTAGCCTTCATTTACCTGAGAACTATTGGTGTGAATTCAGCATTCAAAGGTAAGATTAATCACTTTTTTCCCCAGCATTTTAATATCCAATATTTCTGGCATTAGGACATTTTATTGAAAACTCCTTGAGATATGTCTAATCATTTTCTGCTTCAATGTTTTTTTACCATGTTAAGAAGTGACCATTGTTATGTGTAAGTGCATATATTAACCTTTATCAGTATGAAATGCAGTTTTCCCTCAAATGTTTTCAGAGCCAGTGTCAAAGTTCTGTGTCTGTTAGTAAGCCGACACAGTGAGTCTGATCCCTCTGTCCGTGCTGTAAAAGTCTCAGGTTTGTTTGGGCTTCTCAGATTTACCATGTAAATGCTTTAGCTCACACACAAACAAGCTGTTGTGAGACCAGCCAGGGGATTAACTTTTAAACTGTATATTAGTAAAAGTGGAATCAACATTACCGCCTTTCCAACTGGATTTATGTCTCTGAGGAAGGTGGGGTGACTTTAACGTGACCTTAGTTTAATAATCTTGTCCGGAGTGATTTGATAGATGGAAACATGCTAACAGAAGAATACAGGCCTATCTTGGAAACTATATGATGAATAATAATTACTAAAAAAATAAAGCTATCAGGAGAGATCTACAGGTTACGATGCTGCATGGCTGCATCCCTGGTGTTCAGACTACATGACAGAGGCCCAGAGCTGGTGAGGGAGGTGCTTCTGGAGCGAGGATGGGAGGAATATGACGAAGGAGAACGGGAGGAGGAGGACTGGAACCTCTACTGGAGGGGCTCTGCTTTTCGCAACTCCGAATATCACAACCTGTTGCCATGGCAGCGCCTCAACCACCATCCAAAGACTGCAGGCATCACACGCAAGGTGATGAGAAGAAAATTTTACAAATAAGCTGTGGCTATGATTTGCTATTTCACTAAATCGATGAACAATGCTGGTTTGGAAACTTAATAATGAAACTATGGATTTTCAACATCCTTCCTTTATCCTCAACAGAATGTAAACACACCTGTTTTACAAGCAAAAGTGAGAAAAAGATGTGCGGAAAGCTCTAGATCTACTTAAAGCAGCTACAACATATGAAATGACAATGTGAACGTGAAAGGAGTCGCTCCTGATGACAAATTATTGCCTGAATCTGCAGCTCCTGTCGGCTTTAGTGAACTTCGTGTTAAGTTTCATTCATTGTTTAGCTGTCGGTCATAACTGTGCTGTTTTGGTTCACTCTCACCGTCATTTTCAGCAAACTCCACTGTACCTTCCCTGCTTAGAACCAAACAGCAGACAGACACATAGTGGAGCATAGAGCAGCTAAAGAGTCAGATATTTTCCTTGTAGGTTGGTAGAGACTAAAAATAAAACTAAAAGACTAGAACTAAAAGACTAATGCTTATCAAGTGGCCAGAAACACGACTCAAAATGACTTACTTTGTCTCTTCCTGCTAGTACTGTACTGCCTGTTAGTACAGTAGTAGCAGTAGCTTCCCTGACTAGAGCTTTGATTCTCTGCTCGAACCCGACTTTTGCCTCGGGTCCGACGGAATGAAATTTAAAAAAATAAACTGGAGTAGAAATTCAAGTTCGGGTCGGGCTCATGCCCAAAACTTCATCTGTTGTTCAGGCTGGCACAGAATTTTATAGGGGTTTCCTTTGGGATGTCATTATTCAGATAATGTATCCATATACAGATCCTATTTAAATCCCAGATGTAAATGGGACCCTAAGCAAGAATAAGGGTTTGTTCTTTTCCGTTAAAATGATCCCACTAACAGAATGATTTGTACTTCTTTGGAAGGACTGTTTGGCTCGCAACCTGAGGAGAATGAAAGCCACGTTCGGTTCAGCTCTCTACGATTTCAGTCCCACCGCCTTCATCCTCCCCAACGACTACACCCGCTTCCTGGCAGAATACAACAAACTGCGTCTGACCAGAGGACCGTCGGTCTACTGGATATGTAAACCAGTGGATCTCTCCAGAGGCAGAGGGATCTTCATCTTTGAGGATATCAAGGACTTAGTCTACGACTGCTCCGTAATCGTACAGAGGTACATCAGTAACCCTCTGCTGATCTCCGGCTACAAGTTTGACCTGAGGATCTATGTGTGTGTGAAGAGCTTTCATCCACTGACTGTTTACATTCATCAAGAAGGTCTGGTGCGTTTTGCCACAGAGAAGTACAACCTGTCCTCTCTTCACAACCTGTACGCTCATCTCACCAACACCAGCATCAATAAGTTCGGTCCCTTCTACAAAACCGAAAAAGAAAGAGTAGGCCAAGGATGCAAGTGGACCATGAGCAAATTCAGGCATTTTCTCCACAGCCAAGACATCAACGAGCTTCTTTTGTGGCAGAGGATCAACAACATCGTCACTCTGACCCTCCTCACCATCGCTCCCTCTGTCCCCTCCTGTCCAAACTGCGTGGAGCTGTTTGGCTTTGATATCCTCATTGATAACAAGTTTAAACCTTGGCTGCTGGAGGTCAACTACAGCCCTGCGTTGACTCTGGACTGCCAAGCAGACATTACAGTGAAGAAAGGGCTAATCAGCGATCTGATTGATTTGATGAATTATACATTGACTGACAGCTTGAGAGAGAGAGCTTATCAGAGACAAGGGTACAGGCAGTCTTGTTTCCACACTAACCACCCCTCACATGTTTCAATACCTGTGCCCTCGAAGGTTAAAGAAACCAAATTTCGGAAGCGAAGGAGTGGTAGCCAGTCACAAACTCTGTTAAAAACTCAGAACAACCATGAAAAGATGAACCAAAGACAGTCCAGACAACACGCTTTTGTAGCTGACTACAGAGGACATCTTCCCCCTGTTGACTTAAACAAGCTATATGCAGCCAGTGGCAGAATAATTAACACCACAGCTACCAAAACCCACACAGAGAAGACCCTAAACCTGATACTCGGCCCACATTCAAGGACAAACGAGTCGGTCGTAAACAGCCAGACGTGTCCAGCTCGTGCACCGTGGCTGATGGACAACAGGAGTCTTCGCATGTCTGAGGTTACAAACCATGACGACACTGAAACAGAAGCTGAGACGGAGCTCTCAGGAAAGACAGACGTTTCCTCTTCGATACATGATCTCCCACAGAGGGGGCTGGGATTCAGAAATAAGCTCCCAAACATTTACAGGTACATACAGTACTTCTGCGTTTTCTGTAAGCTTGGCAACAAATTCTGTAGACAGTTTCTAATCTGGGTGAAACTGATCACATTTCTTCATCTGTGAAATATTAGGGAAATAAGAGCATCTTTAGCTTCAGTAATGTGGCGTTTTTCAGACTGTGGTTGGGGTTTAGATACAAGAAGCATTTAAATCAAATCTTTTCCATATGGATCGACCAGGAGTAGGCGTGGCTTAGTGGTCGTGTTTCCACTCAAACGTATCGCAAATTTTAACTGAATTTCAAGTGAATCTGCAAAATAAATACTTAGTTTCAATCCACTACTGTTATGCAATTATTACGTCACAATGAAATACGACATTTCTCTTTGTTTCGTGTATTAATGTGAGGAAGATCAGATCTGTGCGGATTATTTTAGAGCCACGGGAGCGATGAGGAGACAGTAGAAGAAACTACAGTGGCAGGAAACTCTCTTAAAACAAGAAAAGCCCCAATCTAGAGCCAGTGTTTGGTTTGTCCGTTCTGGGCTCCTGTAGCTCCTGTCCTCCTGCCCAATAAAGGCACAAAAAAGCTTAACAAACAAATGTTGTGATTGTTTTACAGTGGGAGTCAAAGGCCAGTAAGGATTCCTCTGGGAGGAACCACAGCAATGAATGGACAACATATTCCTCCACTCAGAGTTGGAGACTTCATACGGACCTTCCCCTTTAATTCAGCCACTCTGAGAGCCTCGCAGCACAAACTGGAAGTTAAGATAGTCATACAGGCGCTCCACAAGCTGACTGGTCAGTTGGCCACATCGGACGACAAGTTGAGAAGAGAAGAGGAGGAGGTGAGGAAGAACATAGATGGTGAGGAAGACTTTGATTCACTGTTGTGGGGGCCAAAGGATCCTCCATTGCTCAATCAATGCTTCAAACCCACTTAGTTGTTGTTTTTTCCTTGTGGGTTTCTTGCTAAACTGACTTTCTTAGATTGTATTTTAAGTTTTCTGTTCACATCTAAAAAAGAAGTGGTAATGTGCAACACATCACTTCCGTACGCCAAACGCCAGAAGAACAGTGTTTACAACAGCAACAAGAAAAAAGTGGTCATAATTATACTGACTTGTTGTGTGTTAGCCTTTCTCAATTGTTTTTATTAATGTGAATAAAGTATTTGAACAAACGATTTAGATTCCTTTAATTTAAGACAGACATTTAATTTGCGTTAAGGGACAAAGAGCCATATTAGTTGTTGTTTTTTCCTTGCCTTAAAGATCACCTGAGCTCTTTACCGAGCTCTTTACCTTTAAAAATAATCAATAAATAGTATCATTAACATCTCTATTCTACTATCACTGATCCCTGTGCCACTGATCCCTATTTGAAACATGATGAAAAGGTTTTTCCTCGAGACACTACACCCCCCAAACACACACACTACATCTCACACACAAACAAATGGTCAAATGGTAACTTTGTTCTTTTCCTTGACGCGTACTCTGCCGGATGCGTACTTGGTTTCCTGTCGTCCGTTGGAGTAGATGGTCTTCACTGTCCCATCAGGATCCTCTCTCCTCTTGTACTGGGAAGTGTGGATCTCCCTCTGACCGTTGGGGAAATTTACCATCTTCTCACCTGATCTGGAAGAGAAGATGATTCAGAGAGCACGATGAACAAATAGCTTCTTTAAGGCTTGGATTACTTTCAGTAAAGTGTCTGTAGGTTGAAGACAATCACATCTTAACGCTTCGTAAGGTTTATTCATGCACCTCTGAACACAGATGTTCTTGTTTTTACCATGTACTTAATCATTTTATACATAACTTTGATATTGATTGATCATAATGTTCATTTGTGAGACAAATTACTGCAGAGATACTGCGAGAGGTGAAAAGGGAAAGGTTCATATATCGGTGTTATTGTAGTTTGGTCCATTGATTTGCCTGCTCATCAACACAGTCAGATTGCCACAATTTGTATAAAAATGTATACATACTTATTCAGTGGAACTTTTCTTTCTAAAGACATGTTATCTGATTAAATTAACATCCATAAATTTACAAAGAAACCTTTAAAAGGATAAGAAAAAAAAAATTAAAATACGCTCCCTTTTTAAATTTTAAGTAGTCTACTGATAGTTGTCTGTAGATCCACGGTTACTTGGGTGCAACATGAACTGATAACTGATATGTAAACCAATATAAGCTAGAAAACCAAGGCTCAAGTGGTAGCCAACAGCTAACTACCTGACTAACTTGCTTTAGTGGACGCCCACCATTCTTTACTATCTGAAGTTTTCCCTCTGAAGTTAACTATAAATTCATAGCATGTGAGACACATATTATATATTTCCTTATGTATTAAACATTCTGCTGTTGTACATATCCCATGTTCATTACCAAAAATCGCAACATTACAAATATATACTATTTAAAGTTGGTTTTAGAACTTCTTAAAAATACCAGTGTGTAGGATTTAGTGGCATCTAGTGGTGAAGACAAAACAAAAACACAGAGACATTGGTTGATGTGATATTGTCAAAGAAAGTGGAATAAGATTATTTTGTTAAGGATATCAGCGTCTGTCCTCCTGGTTACCTCATAGTGTACTAATATTGTTTATTTATTTAAAGGGCTATCTGTTAGCCGCCACCCTAACGACAGCTACTCTTCCTCGGTTCCACCGGCTTCCTGACCCTGCAGACACCCTGAAGCTGATCCTGAAATATGGTAGTGATTCCAGTCTTACGGTGAGAGGTGAACGGTGGTGCCATCGGTGAAGATCGTCCTCTCGCTGCCGTCAGGCTCCAGATATTTGATGGTCTGGTCTGGAAATAAGATCTCTCTCTTGCCCCCAGGGTGTCGCTTCTCTGTTACAGAAGGAGATATATTTTGAAAGGAGGACTATAGTATGAGCTGTAGACATACACTGGAGGGACTGTACACTTTTTCTGTTAGAGATAATGAAATTATTCCATTCTCAGTTCGTCAGTTCTATGACAGACTTTAGGTACATTTCTTTTTGGTTGGTTTCTGGCTGCCTATGGGAAACACCTTACCTGAAATTAATAAAATAAGGTTTATAATGAGAATTAACTAAATGAAAATATTCATAAAATATTCTTCTTACATTTATCATCTATTTCAGTCTTTTCTTTTTGACAGAGAAAACAATTCAGGGACCAGACTGCGTTGACAACCATTAATTTCAACCTCTAATAAACAACTAGTGAACACAACATTGACATTTCATCACCTTTTAAGTCGATATAACTATTCATCTGGAGTCATGTTTGTGTCCACCTGATGAATGTAAGTCCAATCAATACTCATTCTCTTTTAGCTGTTTTTGGTCTTGACCATCTCCTGAGGGAAATATCTGGTTGTTCGGCTGCTAAATCCTCCACTACCGTACGTTCACCAGCTAGTCTCTCTTATTAGAGCTTTTACGCTTTAACAGCTGCCTGCTATGACTGCGGTTACAGCTAAACAATGAGCTGAAAGATAATTATCTGTAGGTTTATCACTGCAAGCGAACCTTTCCACATCATCATCTAATACACTGTTATAAAAAGCTTTAAAGATGAGGAATATATAATATAAAATATATAAATAATATAAAACTCAAACCAGAACAGTCCCTCGACAGCATCTCTTACCAATCTGCTTGTTGGGGAAGTGAAGGACCTCCAGACCACTCGGGTAGGTGGTGTGTGTTATCTTTGAACCAGCATAGTAATACACCTGCAACACACATGCACACAATCTTAGTGATGCAAATCAACATTAACATTATTATTTCACAAGTTTGATCAGGTCAGCACATGGCACAAAATACAACCGGCTCTCGCAGATTATTTACTGCCTCTGAAGCCCAAATACTCAGTTATTAGACGTACATAAAGGAATCAAAGGTAGCCACAGAGCTCACCACTTTCCCGTCTTCCAAAATGTGTTTGATGTCTCCATTTAGGAATGTTTCTGTCTTCTGGTCTGCAGAGATTAGTTTCCTTGTCCCGTTAGAGAAAAGCTGCTCTATCTGGGGAAATAAAGAAATCTTCATCAGTTCAGAGTTGTGAAAAGTGATGATTTAGTTTAATTTCTTCAAGCCAATTTAGAAAGTCACGTGTTTGATTGATTTATTTGTATTTTGTGTGTATTTGTGTTTTGTCATTTATTATTCTTAATATAAAACACATCCGCTTGAAATTCTGTTCGGTGCTCCACAGTTGAATACAACAATACACCCTGCTATGAGCATTATCCTTAATAAAAGCTTGAATCCTTCATGTATTTTTATTTTTTACCTATTTCATTAAGACAGCAGGGAAGGTAAAATCAAGTTATTGCAGTGACAGAAGTGGCACAGGGCAGAATATCAACTTGCACTGTATAAACATGTAATGAGGTCAGTCAGTGCTTTGACACCATCTTTTGTCCGTCCTCATAAATTATTGCCAGGGTGCTTAAAGACCACTTAACGGTGTATTGTGTACTTGAATAATTTGATACTAACAAGATTTACACAGCAGACACCGAGGTGAACTCTGGAATTTCTGCATAATAGAAACAAGAATTACATGTTGTCAAGTGGAAAAACAGGCTAATAACAGTGTACACAACAAGATGATACAGACTTTAGAATTTAAGTGCTGCTTGTGTTCGTGTATCTTCTGTGTTTTCTGGAATTTCAGGGTTAGCTGTTGTTTAGAGGATGTCTAACAACAAAATAATGAATGTTTACTGGTGCTCAAACCAAATATATTTCTGAGATAAGTCAGTCTAAACACCTTGGGTTACTGGCTGCTCTCTCCAGTAATTATCTCTTATTATAAAATAAAACTGAGGGCCAGTGGAGGGCAGCAAAGCTTCGGTTATTCCTACCAGCTAATGAAACTACAGCAGCAGATCTTTGCCTCTGTGTTGTACTACCACATTCGTTCTCATGTGGCACCTATGAGCCATTTTAAGAGAATCTGTAGCATTCCCCTATTTTCTTGCGATAGCCGTAATCTTAATTAAAGTATATAACGTAAAGGACTAGTGTGTAGGATTTAGTGGCTTCTAGGGGTGAAGTTGCCGATTGCAACTCCCTCTTAACTAACTAAGTCTACGTTCACACTGGAGGTCTTAATGCTCAATTCCCAATTTTTGCCGAGATCCAATTTTATTGCGTTTTTGCATTACAATTTAAATGCGATGGCCATCAAACTCCAGTGTGAACAGTCTATGGCCCCAAAGTGGAGCCGACAAAATTATGATGATGATGATTTTGATCCCGTCCCGCCTCCTCCGCCGCAGAATTGTGACGTCTGTCTCGCTTCAATAACGTAAAGTCGGATGAAATGCGACATGACCATTCAGATTGAGGTCGCTTTGAAAAACATCAGATATGTATCCGATTTAGGACCACATATGAAAGTGGCCCGGATCGGATTTGTGCTATTCAGACTACAGATATTGGTCACATTCGGGCAAAAACTTCAGATTTGGTACACTTTTGTCTGCAGTCTGAACGTAGCCTAAGGTGGCCATGAAATGCATTGCGGTTCAACATGGCAGACTCTATTGAAGTAGATTCATTCTAAGGTAACAAAAACACAACTATTCTTATATTCAGGTGATTATACATTAATATAAACATAATTCTAAAATATTATATTCCATTTCTGTCCATAGATCCTCCTCAATCTAACACACTGCTCCTTTAAAGCAACATTAATTAATATTCTGTTTACCAGATCATCACCCTCAAGGCTAATTTACTGGCAAGTTTTTTAGATCGTATGAATGTGCACAGAAACTTCCACATTTCAAATTCTTTAAAAAAAATTCTCTCACTCTGCCAGTCGCCTCAGGCTTGTTGTGTACGTCTCTATTTGGTGCCACATCACCCACTGTAACTACTACATCCACCACCTGTCACAGACCACTTTGGCTTTAAAGACATTTTTTGATGTCTACCTTTATGTGGGTCACAGTGCAGAGCTGTTCTGGTGGCAGCTGCACACTCACAATTTTCACAGGAATTTCAACAGGACTTGAAGCTCTGCCATGTGAAAGTCTCCTTCTCACTCTTTATGCAGCCTTATATGGTCATTTATAGGGAGTAAATTGCTAATGATCAACTCTTACTCATGAACAGGTGTCATTACTCACGTCAGAAACAAGCGATTACAAGTTAAAGATGGATTTAACTCCCTGCAATACCTCACAGAATAAGTAAAAAAATTAAGAATATGAAAATGTACTTGCATGAGGTTCAATATATGAGTGTTTTAACTCTGCAGCCTGTCCAGGGAATTTTTCTACTCACTCTAAAATCAGTTTTCAATTAAGCCAATCTGTCAAATAGCTCCTCCATCCTCTACGTGTAACTAAAGAGTGTGAGACACAGACACAGCAAACTACCATACATACAGGAATCATTGTAGTTTTCTGCTCCTACAAGCTTTCAGAGAGGTAGAAAGTAAAACAGGTGGAAGAGATTAATCACATGACTGATCTACTAATCACTTATCCAAAATACCAAACCTGCACAGCTTCCTCTGTAGATCATTAATGGTGCAGCGCGAAGGCTCACACTGAGGGCGATTACATGGACTAATGGGCCAGTAGCTGCAGTGTTTGGGCCACTATTTATCTCAATGTCAACACTTTTCTTTAGATATATCAACAGAAACAGAAACAATCATGTAGCTCTACTTGCTTTATGTCAGCACATCTCATATTTAATAATTAGTTGATAACATACTAATTTTACACATGATCAATTGTCAATATTTTGAAGACCCCCCCCCCAGAAGACCATACGGTGTATTTGACCTGTGTCTGTCTCCGGTGTTCAGTGTGTGTCTGTGCAGTACGCCTGTGGACCACTGGACGGCACTGTGGCGTAACTGTGAGTCTCTCCCTCAGCTCAGAGTTTTCTCTGATCACCTCGTCCAACTGGCATCGAACTACAGACCAATCATTCTCTCTCTGCTTAAACTGCTGCTGAAGGGCCTCCATCTGCTGCCTGAGGGCCTACACACACACACACACACACACACACACACACACACACACACACACACACACAGTCAGAACAGTTAAAAAGCACGTAGCTCTCTGTATATGAATCATGTGTTGACTTTAATAAGTGGGACTATGTTTGTAAATGTTTGCACATATTTATGACATGATGTGTTTAACCGCTCTTCATCACACTTGCTGACCAGAGTCATCAGATAACAGGAAACTAATTGTGGTGAAAACATGACAGTGGTCTGTTATTCAGAAACTGTCCACGCACAGATAATAAGAAAAGTTTCATCTTTAGTAATTAGACATGACGCAAAAACAACACTCATTATTACGACTAAAGTTTGTGGTCAAAATGATAAAATTGCTGTATATTAATATCATTTACATGGGAAATAATTGATTGACACGACGTATAATGGAGAAAACGATTGATACATACATAAATAAAACTATTGGCCTCAATGCAACGTTAATGCTCTGCTCTTTATTCGCTATACTCTGATTACTGAGGTACTTTTTTCCCAGTATAACTAAGAATTACACACGCAATTCATTCTGATTGTAAACATATACATATACATACATAGACAAATAATATCCAGTACTGCTGCTGTTTTAGAAAAGAGTCAAAATGTTATAGTGACAAACAGATTGGTTTAATGCTTAATGTTGTTATAATTAATGAGTGAAAATAATAACTTTATTTAGTTTATATAGCACCTTTTAAAAACAGGTTGAATGATTGCAGCCAATGATTTTTGAGGCCGTATTGACAATCCTGTCCAGCTGCAACCTCTGCTGAACAGTAGAGTTGCCATACCAGACAGTAACAGAAAAAGTGAGGACACTCTCGATGGCGGCTCGATAGAACTGCAACATACCCTTACAGGCCACCCCTAATTTCCTCAACTGCCGGAGTGCCCTGTATGCAAACTGGAAGGGGTCTAGCCTGACCACCCTGGACAGATGTTTACATACTATTCTCTCAAAGATTTTCATTATGACAGATGTCAGTGCTACAGGCCTGTAATCATTCAGGCAACTAATGCTGGGTTTCTTGGGTACAGGAATTATGACAGCAGACTTAAAACATTGAGGGACTCTACACTCCCTCAAAGACCAGTTAAACAAGTCTGTGAGAACTGTGGCCAGTTCATCTGCACATTGCTTAATAGTAGCGGTGGATACAAGGTCAGGACCTGCAGCTTTCCTGCAGTTCTGCTTTTGTAGTAGGAGCCTAACCTCAACCTCCTCTATTACAACAGGAGGGCTGGGGGTGTTGATGCTCATTGACTGTGTAATGTCACCGACATGGTTCCTGTCAAAGCGACAATAAAACTCATTGAGACTGTCAGGCAGCTTAGGATCGTCACTGACCACTGACGCTGTGCTTGTATAGTTGGTGATCTGCCTCAGACCCTCCCATATCCCTCTACAGTCATTAGCCTCAAAATAAGAGCAGAATAAAAGCCATAAAAATCAAAAATACATAAATAAATCAAAAATATATACATAGAATAAAGTAAAAAGACGACATCACACAAAGACAAGTCTATAAAAATGGGTTTTAGGAAGTGATTAAAAATGAGTGGCTAATTCTGTAAACCCTATTAAATGTACGTAACATTGATTTAAGTCATCATGATTGAGAACATGTTGTTCTTATTGTCGTTTTATACAGGGGTTCATTCAACTGTATGGACATTTTGGAGAATTGTTGAGTGTTTTGGTTATTCATCCTGCCCTCGCTGACATAAACAGGGTTGACAGAATAACAGACACACCTTTCAGTATAACGAGCTGGGTTCAACAGAAGGCATGCAACACCTTGTGTTCTCCTAAATCTGTGTGTGGTGGCGTCATTAGTTTGTCACAGAAATATGCACGTGCTGATTGTCAGAGAGGAATAAAAGCTCACTACGTCTTTTCCCATGATTTCAAATGACGTGAACAATCTATTGCCAACAGCAGTTGCTTTGTTATTCTTTCGAATTTCATTTCTCAATTTGCTGGCAACTAGTTCACAAGCATGCTGCAACCGATAGCCGTGTTTCACTTGTTGCTGTTTGCACAACACTGTGTTGGTATGTTAAGTTTCTGTGGCTGTCAAATAAGAGCTGCTTTTACCACGCCTCCTGGCATCAAGTTTCAAAAGCGGCAACCGTAATTGTTTCCAGTGTGACAAGCTGATGAACGACATCAGTGAAAAACAGGCAGTAACACGCCCTGAAAAAAAAACAGGTAAAACGTAATTAAAAAGAAAATGTATGTGCTGCATATGAGTGTGAATCATCACCTTTGTGGTTATCCCAAAAAAAAAAAAACAATCAGATAATTACATGGAATTTACCCACACACATAATCCAGTGGAAGTTGGTGCAAAATCAAGTTTCACATTCACCTCAGACGCTTAATCCCTGTATTTAAAGGCTAAAGTGCTACCCTAAAGTACTGCTGATATTAAAGAGCTTGTTAAATGCAAATGTCAATGCAGCACTGGTGCTACCAGTTCTGCAACATACACGCAGGAGTGGGTGGTATTTAGGCCTGAAGGGATTACTGAAGGGAGCTTTTCTGCAGGATAGTAAATTAAAGAAGGAGAATGAGAAACTTCCTTGTGAGTTCACCAACTTTATTTCTCTGAAACACAATCAAATGCGTACAGAGGTGTTGTGAAACAGTCAAATGATGTCATGAGAAAAACACTGAAGCCGTTGGTTGGGCAATACTGCAGCAGAACAGCTGCCAAACCAACATTTCTGCAGCTTTAAATACCCAAACCCACAATCACACTTACCTACGAACAAGTGCTGCTGTTGCTCGATATAGCTCACACCCCCGTGTAAAATAACTCATTGCTAAAAAACTATTAAAGCTGTTGCATTAGGTTATACATTTCTTCACTGTGGTAATTACTTTTTAATTGGAGCTAGACTCCGGTCTACTCCCAACACATCAGATCTGCTCTGACACACCCAGATTTTTTCCCCACCAAAAACTAACCTGAACTTCCCTGGATCCTTGTCTGTGTGGACTTTGGTCAGAGAGGATGTTATCTCCTTCGCAGCCGCTCTTGAGCTCATCTTTCTGATCCACTCTGCATATAAACAGAGGAACTTAAGGCAATAATGCAATAAGTAACAAAACAGATTGTTCAGCCTGTTTGCATGAACTTGTTTACACAGAGCACAGAGTGTAGCTGAGGAGAATGGTGTTAGATATAAAGTCAGCATATGATCAGAGTTATTACAATTCATCCCGAGGCAACATGAACAAACTTTCATGACAATCTATCTCATAGTTATATTTAGTGTCTAGAGTGGCTAAAAATGGTTTTCAGGACCTTAGTGAACAGCTACAGGGTCTGTCAAGGACTACACTCTCCATTATTGCTGTTATTATAATCTTAAAATACTCACAATGACACTGAATTAAGCTAACTGGAACATGGCATAAAGATAGAGTGGTAGTTTAGAGATGATACACCAGAAAGGAAGTTTGAAGTTGCATTGCACTCCACTGATAAAATGATACCAACCTACTTCCTTACCAGGGCGCGCTGCATAGATGTGACAGATGGGTGATCAGTTGATACAGCAGTAATTTGCACGCTATCACAATACCAAAAGAGTGTTTTTACCTGTGAAATCCCTGTGAGGTTTGTGCTTTTTTTGTGTCATCTGGATCATCATGTGTTCTTTCTGGTTTCAGTGAGTGTATGTTCGACATTTCAGGACCCCCTAGAAGTGATAAAATACACAAAAGAGACATTTAACAAACAGAATTATGAAACACAAAGACAAAAAGTGATGTAAGTAGTTGCGTGTGAAGGTAAAGACTGTCTTTGGAAAGCAGAAACTGTCATCCAGACTTCACATAGTCTGATACAGATCTGACGAGTACTCAGTTTGAAGCATACTGAGGCCCCTGAGGTGTACATGTATGGCTGAGGACAGAAATAAAACACGACTGCATCACTGCAAAAGTTTGTAATCGTGGCCGAATTAATGAATAAATGGTCTGATAATAATCTGATAACATAATGAAAGTGGGACAACAGTGGATTGTCGCAGTCACTATTGGTTGGTTCAAAAAGGTATTTAATAGGAGCCTGTCAGAGGCAGGCCGACTGTAAATGTTGAACTAAATACACTGAAACAAAGGCAGAATAGTAGTAGTAGTAGTAATAGCAGTAGTAGTAGTAGTAGTAGTTGTATCTGGTGTAGCCACAAGGCTTAGTGTTTCAAAGGATTCCTCCAGTATTTACTTGGCCCCGATATACAGACAAACAGAAGGGAAATCCTCTATAAATTAATAAAAACATACTGAATGCAGATTTCCACACAGGTGCACTCGTGCTCTGTGGCGTGTATAAAATGCTGCACGATTGATTCTGAATTTGCCAGAGAGATATTATAGAAGAGATGCAGTGCATAAACATCTGATTACAAACATTAATGCACATTTGAGAGCTCAGTGGTGCAAAAATTCTTGGCAAGTGCGTGTGTGGTGAACACCATGAAAGCGGTACAGAGCTGAATGAGTCACTGCAAATCAATGCAAAAAATTATGACCTTCATCCTGTGATGAAACGTCATCATCATTCACATATTTGGAAAAGCTGAAGCACTGCGTGTCCTGATTTACACGGTTTTGCACAAGTCCTCATTTCCCAGAGTCTCTACAACTGAGGACTGCAAAGTTAACGTGACACATTCACAATGTCACAATGTCCCATTTATGGGAAACACACCAGGTTGAAATATCCTGGAATTTTTCTTTCATCAGCATCAGTTGGCTGGACAATTACACTTGTAGCCGCATGAAGTTGCTGAGCTCGCCCTGGGCTTTGCATGGGGAGTTTTTTTAGTGAATCTGAAAACTGAAAATGATCAACTGTGCAAAACCCAAAGGAATCAGTTTCAGCCTCTGTGATCAATTTCAGTCAAACTCTGGTGTTCCTGGTTATTGGACAGCCTTGGTTTACGTGTTGTTGTTGTTCTATGTAACAGTTCTCTAAACGAAGCACTGTTCACTACATACACTCAGTTTCATGGCACAGAGGTAAAAAAAAAGGTGACATAAGACAAAAAGACACAGAGAAGATGAGATAGATACATGACATTAATACAAAGACAGTACAGTGTCAGTGGTACCATGTGGTTGTAAACAAAAGCAGAGAGGTGTTTACATATTTATGAATATGTGTTTTATATAAAGTTCCAGGTGTCTGTCTCCATGTCTTCATTGCTAATGAACAATATAAATAAGGACTCTAATAAAATAAGACCTCTCTCTCACTGTCTAAAACAACAGTCTGGTGGCCATGTGAACACTGAAACAGGTCTGGTTTGCTGTAATAATTACTTCCGTTCTTACTGGATATTTTAAGATTTCTTGAGTGCTTTCAGTGTAATTGATGTAGTTCAGAATGTGCTTTGACATATTTAGGCCTTCTATCAATTATTGGCAAGGAAAACTACTAATGAAAACAATTTTAAGATGCAGATTCAATCAAAAATATCAAAATATATGTTAAATATACTTTAGAATTACCATCATGACTTCGATCCTCTCTGTTGCAACTGGAGGACAAGGATTGTTGCTGAGGTCCCAGTCCAAAACCAAGACGCTGGTCCTGTTTCTGGATCCCCGGGGACATCCATCCCTCCCAGGCGTCACTGCCATAATCATCCTCTGTGAGGTTTATACGGGAATCCTGCAGGCCGAGGCAGGGAGAAGGGGATGGGAGCTTGGGAAAGTGGTGACACTGGGAGGGTGGGTTATCTGCACCCTTGCTGCTGCTTCCACGAGTGCTCCTTGAGGTGGAATGCATGGGAAATGTACAGCGCTTCAGAGGTGTTGAGGCCTGACTTGTGTGGTTTGGAGGACAAAGACAAAATGCCGTGGGTTTTGTAGCTGGCTTTTGACCTTCGACCCAGTTTGAGCCAGTGCTGCTTCCTGGTTTTGACTCGTTGCACTGGCAGAGAGGCAACCGTGTTTTTGTTTCATCACAGCCTGTGGATAGAGTTTCCTTGTTGAAGCTTGAGACTCTCTCTATGTGGTCGTTCACCGCCTTAAAACTAACAATAACTTCCTGGTTTCGCCAGGCCCGAGGGGAATCTCTGTTGTCCTTCAAGGGGGGGGAGATGTCGAAATGCTGCACTAAGTCTGATTCATAAACAGCGCTGGGGCGTTTGGGTATCCAGACTTGTGTGTTTTTCCGCTGCAGCAGCGATTGTTCCCATCGATCCTCTGAGGTGGCACCAGATGAGCTCAGAGCCATTTTTCTATGAGGTACTGGAAGTTCAAACTGACCTTTCACCTCGCCTTCGTCAACAACTTTTGCTGCAGTTTTGCACTCGTTCTCCGTCTCTTGGTGCTTCAGCCTTTCCTCTCTGAAAGGCTTCCCATCAGAGGCTGTCTGTTGAGAATCACTGTTTTCTTCCAAATGGGATTTCTCTCTGCAATCTTGTACTTGGCAAACTTTCTCTTCTCTTTCTGTCGTTGTGGGAATATCAGTAATCTCTTTTGCTTGGAAAGGGGTATAATGGGGAGTACTGAAATAAGTTCTTCTTCTAAGTTCTTGGTTGCAGACCAGGGAGAATAACTCAGACTGAGCCTGGAGCTCTGTTTGGGTGTTTCTGTGGCTGTACTGGGGTGCCGGAGGATTATATGAGGCAGAGCAAAAGTCCTGTAGAGTCCTGAATTGTCCGCTATGCTCGGGCTGGAAGGTCAGACCCTGGAAGGACTCCAGCTGCGTTCCTTCGCCTTTAAAGACCAAAGATGGGGCAGAGGAGTGCCACTGGATGCCAGAGGTCAACTTCCTGCTGTGCTGTTGCTGGCTCAGACAAGCCCTCATCTGGACCTCCTGCCGGTCAGCGGCCTTGGAATTATTTCTGTCCACCCTGGAAATGGCCTCAGGCTCCTGCAAGAAATAACGTCCCTCCGTCTTCATCCAACTGAGGTTCTGAGAAATAGAGATTGAAGAAAATACTTTCAGAGTCACATCATATACAAGCACATGTTAGTGTTGATATTTAATAGTCTGTGTTCAGTGGTCCAAGAGTCAGCGGTTTTCTGCCAAATTGGGCCAGAAAACGGCTCATTCTCATTTCAACAAAAACTGAAAATGATTGCAACATGTCTGCTTACCCTTATACTGACTTTAATTTACTATATAATAAAAAAATTTATATACGTATTTCACGACCCGGCTCTGGAGCCGTGACACAAACAAGGAGACGCATATTAACGGCAAATTCTAAGTAATTAATTTTAACATAACAACATAAACGCAACCAGAAAAAGGAACAAAGGAGAAGATGAGGTGTAAAAGAAAAGATAAATGTTGGATGTTAAAACACATCGAAACCAAGCACCAGAGAGGTAGGGCTTTTACAGCCGGGAAACACCGGGTCAAGGTGCTTCCGGCCACACTGATTTGGTCCATCCCTCAATTACCTGCTGCCTTAAAAGGAAGAGGAAATATTAGAAGAAACCCAGGGGACGATCACAATTCCCTATCATCCTGACTAAGCCACTATAAAAACTGCCAGGATGCTGAGATGCAACGCCCAGCACTGCATATAATACAGTACTACAGGACACTGTGCCACAGTAAACTACTCTATATACTATGCTCTTATGTAATATACCTGTGGCTGTTGTTTCAGCTGCTCCTCTACGCACTTCCTGAGGGCCTCTTCCTCCCTCACAGCAGAACTGATCAGCATTGGTTCAAAGACAGAAAAAAAGAAGAGCAACAACTCAATTATGTTTTGGAAAATAGGAAAAATATTAAAGTTAAAATGTTCCTATAAGCAAAGCATCTACTATTCATGTAACAAGTAACACCCCAAAAACCCCCCGAGCTGTAGGCCAGCTGTTTGTGTACCTGTCTTCAGGGTCAGGAGGCAGGATGTTCCTCATTCCAGAGGGGCTGACTGGGTCCTGGTCTCTGTGCACCGTCCCTGTGATGGTAGGTAAATGTCTCTGCTCTGCTATATCTTTGTCGGATCTAAAGGTATCTGAGTGGGAGGCAACAGGGCAGGACAAACTTAATATACTAATATACAATGCAGACAGATCAGAAATGAATCTGCAGAACAGGAGGCGAGGGGAAGCTTCAGTGTGTGCAAGCTGCAGGCCTAAAGCATTTGAGTGCCAAACATCTCAGCCTACTGTGACATAGTATGGATGAAAGTGAGAAAACTCTCCACCGCTGTGAGTTATAGCTGCAAGTACAACTTTACAGTAAGTGTTACTGGAGTCACAGGTTGGCTTTACAATCTGAGCACAGTTGTCTGATTGTTAATGTGTCTGGCGGCCCGTAAAGCTACATTTCTCAGAGTCTGGCTGGACTCAGACACTCGCAGTAAACAAGTGATAAACATGTTTTATTAGGTTAATAATCACCGTTCATTTCAATAAATCTGACGGACCAGTTGACACGACATGAGCTTACATGTATTCTTTTAAAATATTACATTTAAATGAAGGTTGTTGCCTTTTAATAGTGCAGTTTGTTTTCAAAAACTACATTTTCTGTTTTTATTCCTAATATTTCTTTAAAAAACAACAGTGATTTGATCTGTTTATTGACAGAATGAGAATGAAAATACTAATGCAGCAACATGAAACTAATCATCTAGGTATTTGATGTGTTATGAGCCAACTTTGCCTATTATTATATCTGAAATAACAAAACTAGACGGCAGTACCACAGCGATACATACAGATGATGAACCATTTACTGTGAAATATTATTTTAGTCCTTTTATTGAATATAAATAAGAATCCTTGGAACAACCTGTACTCTTTTGTATTATTTCTGTCCTCATCTGTGGTGAGAAGGATAGACTGAGGGTTAAGATACAAAATGAAACTGTCCTAGTCATAAAATTCCTGCAGGTAGTTAAAGGTTAGCTGTGCAGTAGCTACAGAGGGCCGGACTACTGGGCTTTAATTACACCAAGACTGCTCCTTGATCCCCTGAATAGTTGACTGAGTAACCCGATATACAGTTAAACCATTGTCTGTGGAAGGAGTAGGGAGGTCAAGGATCAGTTTAAAAAAGTGAAGAGGGATGACAAACACAGAAAAAAGGTTCCCAAGATAGATTAAATCAAGGATTCTTGTCACTCCTAGCTCCCAGATCAAAGGTAGCTTATGCATAAATCCTTTTTAGGCAATGAAGCAGCAGAACAGAGGCATAGATTTAACATACAGGTAACTGTGTTGGGCAACTAGTCTCGTGTTAAAGCACCTTTAAAACCACGAGCCAGATCTGGTAAGAGAGGTCATATCCTCTCCGTGTCTCTAAAACAAGTCCCAGAAGAAAGTCTAATCTTGTCTTGTCTGGACTTGTAGCTGAAGTAGAGAAGGAGTTCGAGGCACGTAGAGTTGAATGTAAGGCCTTGGGTTAACCCCCTCTCCTCCTCCTCCTCCTCCTCCTCCCTTAGGACGCAACATTCCTTGCAAACTAATTTACTTGTCCATACATAGTAGAAAACATTGAGAGCAGCACTATGTCCATCTCCTCGTGCCAACATATAAATCTATCACCAATTCCCAGGGATCCACATCTGCGTACTCTAAGGAGAATTCGCCTCTTCAGTGTCCATTTTTAGCATTTTAAGCTGCTAAAGAGACTTGCAGTTTTAAAGCAGTGTTGTGCGATGTGACACCAAAGTTGTATGTCATTCAGTAGCTTCTGGGATTTACTGAACCCTCAGAACAGCAAAAAAGCAGCTAATTCTCATAGTTTGTGCCAGGAAAAAGCAGTTTGCTTTGCAAGACGATGAAAAAAAAATTCTAATTTGGTTGGCTGTCTGTCAAAAGTCATATCAGCTTGTGTTGATCAGTATCTGACTGTTCTAACCTGTCACACGGGGGCCAGTCAGGGCTTAGCACGGCATTCACAGCATTCATCTAAAAATAAACTTCTGCAACTTGGTGCTAAGTTTGATAATTAACCAGTCCTAGTTTCCTCTTAACAAAAGGAGCTTGGACAATTTGTAATTTTAATGTTACAGGCTGCTCTTGTCTTTTGTAAAGCCCCATTGGTCCCGCAGTGGAAAAGCAGCTGGTGACTCACCTCCTCAGCTATGAGGCGGAGCTACGAGTTCGAAGCTGAACAGCAAAGCAAACTCAGAAGGGGCTGTGTACCATTTGTTCTGCACACAGAGGGAACTACTTCCAGACCTGGAACTGACTCTCACAGAACCGGACCTAAAGCCTGAATGACTCTGGAAACCAGACAATCACATGAGGACTGACAGAAGAATTTAAAACCTAAAAGAGCATTACAACTGAAGACACTGAAGAAACTTGTTTGGCAGGATTTGTTGTTGTTAGTAGGTGTAGACTTTGTATATGAAGTGGTTTCCACATTAGATTAGGACAATCATCTCACCGTTAAAATGCAACCTAACTCTACTTTACAACTCATTGAGGACTGTGATGCCACAAACAAGACACTGTATAAGTTCTATGCAGCTGTCATGATTGTGATTTTCACCTTGGCTTTGCCTCTGAATGCATCTGTCCTGCACCTCTTCATATTCAAGCTGAAATTCTGGAAATCCAACACCAACAACATCTTCCTGTTCAACCTGGTGCTGGCAGACATCCTCCTGCTCTTCTGTTTGCCCATTAAGGCACACAACTTCATCAATGGAGAGAGGAGGAGTAAGAACGAAAGCATTTGCAAAGCTATGCTCTTCATGTTGTTTTTAAACCGAGGCGCCAGCATTGCCTTCCTCACGGTGACTTCCATCGATCGATATTTCAACGTGGTACACCCTGGTCGAAAGAATCTCCTAAGGGCTCTAAAGAAATCTCCTCAGATCTCTATCGTCATCTGGCTACTTCTTCTGCCCCTCACCATTCCCACCATGCTCCAGAACTTCGAATGCTGCAACAGCCACAAGTCGAGCAAAGACGACACCTTGGTTAAGGTAATGTTCACATGCTAAATGTGCAATTTCTGTAAAATGTCACTATGCATCTCTCTTTGGAGTTTTGGTGTTTAAACATTGGTCTCAAATCATAAGAAATCACAGAGCACTTACGCAACAAATGATTCAGCTGGAACATCTGTCAGTTGTGACCATGTGACAACGCAGCACTGAGTAAGAAAAATCTGCTGCTGTGTCATCACTTTTTTACGCAATAAACAGTTCACGCAGAGAATAATGATGATTTTAAAAATTACAAAAAGACTGTGAATAGGGTTGCAAAATTCTGGGAATTTTCAAAGTTGGAAACTTTCCATGGGAATTAACGGGAATATATGAGAATTAATGGGAATAAACTGGTTATTTTTAATATTGCTTGTTATTAGGGATGCACCGATACCGATACTGGTAATGGGTATCGGGCCGATACTAGTCTTATATACTCATACTCGTACTCGTTACAGTTACTCGATACCATGAACCGATACCAATTTATTACATGCAATTGCTTTGCATGAAGACCGCAATCAGAGGGTGGCTTGTCATCATTGGCGGCTAGGGGAGATGTCCCCACACAGCAAAAGGACTCCGCAGCGAGGTATGGTGGCTTCCGGAACGAACCCGTATCTGCGTCAACTTGCTCTCAGTGACGGATCCGCTACGAAGGCGGATCGCGGACCCTTCTGTTCTAGCTGTAGTATAAAATAGGATAAACTAAACTATAGGATAAAACTAAAACTATCATTAGGCCTAAGCTTAAATCTGCATTGCCTTGTATTTTTAACCTAACAATATTGTCAGAAAAGGTTCAAGTCAAGACATCAATATAGCCTACTGTCAATGGAAATATAAAATTGACATTTACATTTAAGGAAAGGTATAGGTTACAGCCTATTCGGTTTTTGTGAGGTTACTCTACATTCATTTTGTGGTCAAAACCTAATTTAGTGCATTTTTTTTGTGGTAGAAGTATCGGCATCGGTACTCGGTATCGGCAAGTACTGTGGCTCATCTCAACAAGCTCAATGTGAAATAATAATGTTTTTCTACAGAAACACTAACATTTCAAGTAATTCCGTTATTGCAAGTCTTACATTTCAATAATATTTTGCCATTTTCCAAAATTCCCCAGCTTATCTTTCCATGGAAAGTTTCTGGAAATTTACCTGACAATTTCCGCCCCTTTGCAACCCTTACTGTGAATATCCGTGACAAATGGGATGAGAGGCCTTATCAGAAATAATGAATGTGGGTACACGGCGTCCTCAGAGTTTATCTCATCTCCAGAGCTATTTTTGCATGTCCACATCACACTGCATCGCTGAAGTGTAAAACCTGGAGTGTGTCAAACTGCACCACGCATGATAAGGGCCACAGTGTGCACGCTTTGCTTTGTCATTGATTCAATATTTATTCACTGTGTATTACACCTCACCGTATATAAGATTCTACGCACTACGGGGCGCCTCTTCACAGTAACAGTAGATTAGAAGGAAGTCTATTATATTTTTAGATCAGAAAACCTCAGAGTGCATTATTGTGTTTATACCATGGCTACCTACTAAACAGGTTGTGTTTGAACTTGTTTATTTTATGCAGTCAGTTTAATTTGTGGTTGGATTACTTTCCCTGATAAGTAACTTTTAGAGTGAGGCGTAAATACCTTTGGCTACTTAAGCAGTGACTAAGTGAAGTAGATCTATTTAAGTTGTGTAGTAGAATTACAATTCTGATGTATACTTTCCCTTTTATTTTACTTCTACTGCAAAACATTTCACAGAGACACATTACGACCTTTATCACACTTCAGATGTCTATGAGTTGTTAGCAGTTTCACCAAAGAGTGAAATTCCCTCCAAGAAAAAGTCAAAAAAATGAAAAACAGAAAACTTCAGTTTTTTCTTCTTTCCTAACCAACTAATCATCTCACAACCCCTCCAGTTTATCTTGTGAGCAGCTGGAATGGTCCTGACCTTTAGGTTGGAAACCATAGGATTAAACTACCTATATACTTATATACTGTCAGGATATTCAAACTAACTCCACCTCGAACCAGCTACAACAGTGACATGCGACTTGTGCTTTGGTGCATCAGACTAAATCTGATAATGTCATTATTATCAGATTATAAACATAGGGGACATTTCTTCTGCAAAACGAGTACTTTCACTTGAAATACATTTTACTGCCTATACTTCTGTACTGTTGGTTAAGGGAGAGTTTGAATGCAGGACTTCTAACAGAGTATTTTTCCATAGTGAAGTATCTGAGCACTTCCTCCACTCTGACTTGAGCAACAATTTAGAATAGTTGTAAAACTGCTTACCGGTAGAGTCCTGTTATACAATTTGTAGGGACACTATAGTCACCCAATCAATAACTTGTTGTTGTTGTATATGGAAATTAAATTGATCCTTTTTCTGATTTAAGGATGTGGTGGACAGTTTGCGAGAAGCGGTCTTCTTTACCCAGATCATCATCCCATTCGTCATCCTGGTCTACTGCACAGTGCACATCGTCAACCGGCTCAGGAAGAAAACAGTCGGGGATAGGACCAAGCTGAGGAGGGCGGTCTTTCTAGTGACCTCCGTCATGGTGGTGTTCTCCTTCTGCTTCCTCCCCTGCACCATAGCCAGGATGGTTCTGCTGATCACCCGGGTCCAAGAGGCGGATGAATACTACCAGGATAAAGCGGCTGTGGCCTTCGACGGTCTCATGGTCCTCTCCTACATCGACTGTCTACTGGATCCGCTGATCTACTGCTTCTGTAGCACCAAGTTCAAAGCTCTTTATCTCTCCACCTACTTCCCATGCATACTGAAAAACCAACAAGTGCCATTAGACAGCTCAACCGAAAACAAAACGCATCACACGTGCAAAACTGTCATTTGAAATGCATGGAAAACAGATGCTGGATGGATTCTGTACAGTGTGCTGACACAGCAGAGACTCGTGTCCCATAAATGTACCTTCTTTAGGGACGAGGACTCTGAGGTAAAGTGCACCATGAAGACAAGACGTGCTGTAATTATTTAAGTTTCTATTTTCTATTGATTGTTAAATAATAAATATATAGAGAGGGATAGTTATGGTTATGGTTTTATAAGAGCTTTTTTTAAAGGGAATGCCCCTCAGCTAAAGTATGCACATCTGCTTTTCTATTTTTCTTGGACGGCAAGATGAGTTGTGGCCAAGAAAAATTCCTTTCAAGTGTCAGAGGCCAAAAAAAGAACAAGAATCTTATCTGTCAAATCAGACCAATCTCACACAGCCTTTATCTAAGCTTTCACAGTCAAACAGGCATTAGTGTCTAATATAACCATGTCAATCGAAAGTGTTTAAATCTTGTCAAATACATTCTCTATGAAGCTGTATGATGGGTAAAAATGTGATTCAATTATAGACAGTATTCACTAACATGGTTTCAGCAGGGGTGTGCATGTAACTGACACCAAAATAGACGCAAATTAGGCCCCTGTTACATAAGACTTAATCCTAAAGGCTCATACAGGAAGCTGACGATTTAATGCTGATTTATTATTAAACTGTATATAAGTTCAAACAGTATGTGGAGAGGCAATAGTGGGATTCAACTGTACATAGTTTCTGTCCAGGATACTTTTTTTTTGTAAGTACATTTTAATAATATTACAGAAAACTGTCCCTCATTACGTTGAAGACAGCTTCTTCGTTAACCATTAACCCAGCACATAAAATGACACGTCGCAAAGATGTAACATCCTTCCGAAAAGTCCCTTACAATATAAATCATGAATCATGCCATAGCAGAAACCAGACAAAGCTACACTTGACCCAGACCTTCATAGAAACCTCATTTTACCTGTACTGTGTGAATCACCTGGATGGTCTCACTCACCATGATGATAGCATTAGTACTAATACAGCGAGTCAGGGTATGCCTGTTGTTCACTGTCTAGCTATAAATAGATCCCTTACTCACTTTTGTTTGATTTGATGATAAAAATGCATCATAGTGTATCACAGAATATGTCATTTCTTTGTGTTTGTCACCGCAGAAATGGGGAAACACTGCAACAACACAATGAGACATTTGTTAAGTGTGAAATTACGCATGTTGAATTTATACAAAACATTAAATTAATTGTAATTGTACGGTTTTATTAAACTAAATCCCACCGCACGGGGTGCGTTTGTTGGGAGTTCATAGTGCCCTCTAGCGGCAGCAAGCCACCTTGTACTTTTTGTTCCTCTGTGATTATTCTTACTTGCTGTGCTTCAGTTTGACTGGTGAAGCTGAGCTGGTGAGTTAATATGTATACAAAGTGTTTGTAACTTGAGTTAAATATCATAAATATGTCCGTGCCATTAATGTAGCGATGTTGTTTATATTTTGTGTTTTCCAGTTGATTACCTGCTGACGGCACGATCACTGTTTAAGTGCTAAAAGAAAAGCATGTGTGGAGTTGCTGATAAAAGGAAATGAACACGTGAAAAAGATATTGAGTGTCGGAGCTGAGTGTGACTCTGTTTCGCCGGTCAAACGCACCCCGTGCGGTGGGATTTAGTTTAATAAAACCGTACAGTAATTCAAATATGCGCTACAGCTTTGTAGTACGATAATTTATAAACGTTGAACACAAGACTGATGTGAACTGACCTCAGAGTCACACAAGAAGAGGGTTATTGTGTTCATAGTGTATGAATATTTACCAAGTAAACAGGATCGTGAGTCTTTGTTTTAACATCATGCACATTGTCTACTTTGTCATTTAGGTGTGTAGATTTGACCTGAGCGGAGCATCATGTTCACATTTTTTGTATAAAGTATAAAGTTTACATCAGTAAATGTACCAATCAGCCCAATTACAAGTAGGTTTATATGAATTATGGGTGCAAACGTCTTCTGAATTCTTAACCATTAGTTATATATTGACTTTTATATAATGTGACTTCCTGTAACTGTGATCTGAACATATTTCTTTGTTTTTTTATTTTGTTATAATAAGCGTCCCAATAAATGCTTCAATAGATATCAGACCCTCAACACATGATAATGTGAAAAGTGTGTATAAGGTTGTCATGATATTGTTGTTTTATTGTTAACATAAATATATACTAGAGCAGGGATCACATCTAGAGAATCTGTTTTGCTGGTGGCATTCAATATTGGCTTTGCTGACTGCTCATTCCTTTTCCTTTCTGGTCAGAAAATCATGTTGCTTTAAAAGAAACTTCATGAAAATTCACTCAACTGTCGAAGCGCGGTATCCAACAACATTAACTCAGCTGATCAGAGCGCTGCTGTCAAACACTCACATCACATTCCCGTTATTAGTCAACATGCCCTTGAGCAATCCTGAAACTTCTGTTCCGGGATAAAGAGGGTGGGTGTGGCTTTGATTGCTGGCTCTATTGTGTCTGAAGAGCTCCATTAGCAGGAGGAAGGAAAGCAAAAACAAGCAGCTGACTTCAGTTTAAAAGCGATACTAGTAAATGTAAAATCACAGCATTCAGGCGTTAATACCAATCACAAAGGATCAAGAGAGAAAGGAAGCTAAAGAGCTAACATTAGCTCAATAGTAGGCTTAATTATAATCATGATGACTAACTTTTGTTTTGTCTCTGCTTACACAAACTAATCTGAAATAAGATTGCAAAGGAGAAGTGAAGGGTCGGGACTTACATGTAGTTGGTGTGAAAAATATAAATTATATTATTGAACTTTAATTGGTCTTTTGGCTCTAATATAAACATGTTTAATAGTCTGGATGTAAAAGTTAATACGTTGTGTCAAATGAGCACATAATGTAATTTCATTCATTTCCTTGCAGATTAGTTGAATCTGATGACCTGCTGTCTCTCACTGGATCTTTATTATAGCACAGGAATGCAAAAACCTTTTGAAATGGCTCAAAGTGGGAATTCACACTGCTACTTTAAAACACTGATGTGGTATACTATATTTGATAACAGCGTTTAAAATGTGTCACAATCTGTGGAGCAATCACCTCGGTTTGCCAGTTTCAGTCTTAAAATGTGAACTTTTCCAATCCTACACATAACAGGACTCAACATGCTAATATGAAAATCTATAGGTCAGATAAGATCAGCTGTTTTGTCGTGTGTAAATAGAGAAGTAGGTGTAGTTCTTACCCTGGTTTTGGCATGTAAAGACAGGCCTCCTTTGAGCTGATGGATGAGATGACACTGGGAGAATTGGGTGCTGTGGGCGCACGCACAAACCCAAGAGATGGAAAAAATAAGAGTAAGCATGTGAGGAGGGGGGGAAAAAAGACCTTATACAGTCTGGTCCACACAGCATGTATGAGCTATGGTAGGATGGCAGCATTACTGAACCGCTGCAGCTCGCACCCCTGTAGTCTGTCCTAGATAAATACAATAAAATAAAAGGTATTCTGTCTTTCAAAGCTGCAGTATTTTTGTAGAAAATAATATTTTGTCACATTTGCTGAAGTTTTCACTACATCCTGACAGTCAAGCACGAATTATCTTTATATCTTTTTCGGCTTGGTTGTTTTCGGTTGGGCCCAGTGGACAGTAGGAGCCGTACAACGAGCCAGAGGAACCAGATTTTTACAGATTACCCATCTCATGTAGTACTGTCAGAACACAGTGAAAATGTCAGCAATCATGACAAAAAGTTATTTTTTGTAAAAGTTACCTACTGTAGCTTTAATCTGAAATGGATACAGGAGAAATTATGTCGAAATAACTATGAACAGATCCTTTTCACAGTTTGTTTTTTCCAGGATCCGCGTGCAGAAAAATATACGGACTGCAGTGTGGACCGTGAACAGAGGCAATTAAGACTAGTTATGGAAATACTGGGGAAATATAATTATGAAGGCTGATGCTGTTAACATTACTGAAGCTGCCAGAAAACAGCACTTGCAAAACAAACATTTTTGAACATGATTCCCATTGTGTCGAGTGTGGGGAGTGATACTGTAGTATATAAACCATGATCAGACGATAAATACAGAAAACATTTTACTTTTTATACTTTTTTCATCCATGACTATAAAGCGTGAGAAAGAAAAAACCTTATAAAATTTAGGTTTGTTCTGGAGAAAAGAAACAATCATTTAGATGTTAATCTTAAAAAGACGTGACTTTCTTAAAGTTTCATTACTTGATTAAATCGTTGACATCTGCACCAGTTTCCACAAAGAACTACAAAACAAGCTGATGAACACTCAGCCCTGGCATATTATCACCTTCTGGTTTTGTCTTCACCAACTACCTGGAAAGTAATCTGACTCCTAAAATAAACCCTGTCTGCTGTTTGGAGGTGGACAGAGGCTTCAGTGGCTTTATTTACAGCAAGTCTGTTGAAAACAGCTCTATGCTTCTGGAAACAGGCTTGATAAAGATCAGTGAGAGTAAATGTGGGGTAAAATAAATATAAAGGAGGATAAAAGAACTCCATTTCACATAATACATTTGATTTATTGTTAATATAAATATACTGATTCATGGAGCTTCAAATATATTATAACATTATATATTTTTAAAATACGTCTACACCTCATATTCACAACAACAATAAAATTGGACTCAAAGGTCGTTAGAATTATTATATAGAATTCAAAATCTTTTTAATATGGCTTTGGAATATTTTTTAGGTTTTAATCTTTGGTTTTTATTTGATTTTGTTATTTTTATGATGTTTTACATTTTATTGTTTTTATTGGATTAATTATTTTGCCCTGGTTGGTGTTGTTTTTATGCGTTGTTTCATGTGAAGCACTTTGGACTGCATGTTTGTATGAAAGGTGTGATATAAATAAAGTTGAGTAGAGTTAAGAATATGGCTTGAAACTGGTTGTTTATCTACCAAAATTGGTAAAAACGAAGTTGACCTAAATTTCATTTCAATCTATTTTCAAGGAATCAAGAAATCAATTAAGAAAATGTATACATAACACAATAGAAAATAGAATAAATCAATATATACGGTTATTTATATACATATATACATACATTTACACCCAGGAAATAACTCTGTTGTGCATCTTTTGAATTTGCATTTGGGGGAATGTAAACAGCAGCAACAAGATAGTGACGATAATATGGTTTCAATCCTCACATACAAAGAAACTGACTGTGTTTGAGCACCAAGCATCATCGATGTGAACTGTTTTCAGTAAAATGCAGACAGTTGCGTGACCTACACTTCATTAGTTTAAAGGGGTCCTCATAAAGTACCTTCTCAGAGTTCATGACAGTCGGCACAGACTGCAAGCCAATCCACTGTAGAGGCACACAGGCAGGAAACATCGGCCCTTCGAGAGAGACTGAGACGGAGATAAAGAGAGAGTAGGAGAGAGAAGCAGATTAGATTGTGAAATAAGATGTTGAATTTCGTAGAGCTGGGTTTGTGTGTGGGAGGAAACCGTCTAAACCCCGGCCCAGAAATGCTCCTTGGCATTTCCACAGATACCGATTATAATAAATTTAAGAGACATGTCTCCTGGAGCACCTTGCTCTAAGTGCGGACAAAGTAAACAACTGAGTGTCTGTATACCATCGTCATCATTACTGGTGCTATAAAAAAGGTCAGTGGCTTACTACTAAGACAAAAAAAAATGTGTGCAGAAAGTCCCGCAGGCAGAAATAAAGTCAGGGTATGTTGGAGGATAAATTTAAGAAAAGATAAGCTCTTGGTAGCATTTTATCTGAACCGAGATAGGGCTGCTGTGTATGCATGTTATGCACGTACGTCATGCAAGGCCGCACAGTCTGCATGGTTCTCGTTTCAACATGGACTAATGCGTCTTTCTTTCTTCTTCTTTCTTCTATATAACTAAGTGCACAGGATGGACTTCTCCTTCCTTCTCCTTTGGACAGATGTTGGTGGCATCATAACTTCTGATTTTACAAATTAATTTAAAAAAGCAATGCTGTGTATGTCAAGAGTGAACCCATAAAAAAAGGAAACTTTTATTATTAGGGCTGGGTGAGATGTAGGCAAAAGTCACGTTTAAAACAATTAAGCTTTTGTTTAAACCAGTGAGATCAAACTCATAAAATACATTATAAAACAAAGACATCAATTATTAATGTAGTTCTTTCCATGATGCTGTGATTCAATAATTTCACTAATAAGCAGCAGAAAACTGAATATATTTGAGTCTTTAGTTCTTAGTCCTTTAGATTAAAGTGGCTTTTTTTAACTTTTAGCATCACAAGTGCAACCACAATATTTTGAGGCTTCATATCTATACTATGCATCTGTTTTTGTACTTCCCTCTGCTGCTGTGACACGGTAATTACCATGAATATACAAAACATAGTTTATCTTGTGTTATCTCAATGCCTTGGTAAATTTGACAGTTTTGTTTTTTTCATCTTTTTATACCTTTTTTCCGGATTCCAAGTGTAAAACTGGAATTGACTTATCATTTTAAAGAGGAACACTAACATTTCTGTGGGAGAAAAGCAATGTTGCAATGACTAGTGGATGAAGATGCACAGTTGTGGTCAGAGCTGGAACAGACTAATGTCTAAAAGCACTTAGACATGTTCGGTTGCATAAGTATTGTGGCATTGCTCTTTTAGGCAATATTACATCACACCTTGCACAGAAGTGGGACAAAGTGGTTAATATTTGTCACGTTAGCAAACTTGTAAGAACGTCAGCTAACAGGTGCGTGGCTCTACAGCGATGCAAGAGGTAATATGGAAGTTAAAAACCATTGGTATGTATTGCTTGTTAAGTCTTACCATTGTTGTTTGTCAGTGAAAGAAGAGCAGAGATTAGGAAGTAGAGGGGTTAATGTTTGACTTCAGTGGAACAACATTTTTTTAAAAGCTGATCCAACCCTGTCCCAAGCTTCTTCTGCACGCATCTAATGAGTACAGAAAATGTCTCACCCAAAAGGTTGGATTTAAATAAGTCAACCATCCTGTTTGACAGAAGATTTCTTTCTGTCAAAGTTCATCTCAAAGATCTTCATGCTACAGTGTATGAATAAAGTTGTATCCAAATCGCTGCATTCAAGCTTTTATTGATGATGTTAGACTGTTCATCTACGTATGTCTCGCGCATAAAAGACAGATGGTTTGACAAAAGGAAATTTACGTCAGACTAGAGAAACCTGCAACACATAGGGGTGTTGAGAAATCTGTCTGCTGTTCAGTGTTGGGAAGTAGGTAGTAAAATTACTAATGTAATGACAATATTTTCCACAGTTAGTAGTAGCGTAACTAATTACTAATATATTTCAACCCTTCTTCTGTGCCTCTCCGCACTGATCGCAATGACTACCATCAGTAGTCAGTAGTCAAGTTGTTTAAAGGTAGACAGCTAAAACAAGCATCTTTCGTGCTGTGCTCCTCAGTCAGACAAGTCCCACTCTTTAAGCCACACCTCCAGCTCAGTATAAATTCTTCCTCTCTGAGAGATCGGTGTCAGCCTCACACAGAAAGGGCTGACAGACTCACTGACACAGGGTGTTTTTCTCTCCTCTACGGTCTGCACTTTTTTCAGTTTATGCCGTGTTTACAGTGCAATGTGTCCTAAGCATGTTTTGGCACGGCCGGTCGAGTCTTGACAGAGCTCCAGAATCACAGTAAGGCTCTCAGAAGGGGACTGTTGAATTTGACGGATCACAGTGAGAAGGGGAACCAGTGCCTGAGGAGAGAAGATTCTGGGTCAGAGGCAGCTACGACCACCTCCAAAACTAAGGGTTTAACTTTGTGATGGCTGCCTGGAAACACCTTTAACCCTTCTGCTACCACCACTTTGACAGCAACTTCTCCTACTTTTGCAGAAGCAACACTACTTCCACAACTGCTATGCAAAGCAACATGTCTACAAATTCAACAATTGACCACTGCAAAACATCCAATGATGTCACATATGAAATCCTCTCCTGGCTGATGATTATCCAGTTCGTGCTGGGTCTGCCTCTCAACCTGTCCGTCCTCTACATCTTTGTCTTCAGGTAAGAGGAAAAACAATCTCTCTGTCACTGCCTTGTCCTTACTTCCTTAAAGCACTCGGACATAAAATTGATTAGGCTGTTCAGCAAGAAGTCTGGGGAAAGCCTTCAGACAAGGGTGAGTTTCAACTCATTAGCTGGTGGGAATTTCCTGGCATGTAACCTCTCTGAGTGATTCAAACATATGTAAGTGATGAGGTCAGGTTCAGGTGCTTTACCGAAACATAGTACTGTCTACGACCTGTATGACTGAGTATTTCCTTAGTTAAAAAAATTTAAATTATTCTTGTGATAAAAAGGTCACACAGTGGTATTGAACAGTTCAAATTGTGTGCTGATACATTTGTACTAGCCCTGCAGTTTCATGGCTGTCCACAGAAACATATCCTAATAAATGAATGCTCATCTCAGTGTGCCAAAGAAAAAAGGGACGGTTTTTACATCCTGTTTGGATTTGCTTTTGTTGGCAGAAAAGTTCACAAAATCTGTTTATTAACAGCGCATTTCTGCAATAAACAGTTCAATTAATTGAAATCAGCATGTACTGTAGCTTATCAGGTCTTGCTGTTGTCAGTCAGTGAAAGAGTAGCAAAGATTAGGAAGTAGAGGGGTCTGGTTAATGTTTGAATACAGTGGAACAAGCTGATTAAAAGCTGATCCAACCCTGTCGCAAGCTTCCTCTGCATGCATCTAACTCAAGAACAAAAAACCTTTCTCATCAAAAAGTTGGATTAAGGATGTTTCAGATGGCTTGACAAAAGGTGTAAAAGACTATTTACGAGAAACCGCCCATGCCACTGCTTGTTATTCTGTTGATATTTTAAGAACCCCAATTCACCGTCTTCGAAACTGGATATGACTCATTCAACCTTTAATATGCCATTAACACTGAACTGGAGGATGTGGTAAAGCAGCAATATTTCCCAAAACAGTGAAGAGATCTGTCAGACAACAGCAGGAAGCCAGCAATCACTATAACTCATCTCTATTATTAATACAGATATTGATCATAATCTAAACTCTAATGCATTCAGTGTAGCTTTTGCAATCGTAATACATTATAGAAGGGCATTTGGAGAGTGTAGACCTTTACCAAGGTCGATAGTCCAGTCATAAGTGTTTGAATTACAACTGACCTATCCCACAATGCTAATGAATCGGATCCGCTCCAAAATTTTGCTCCATGCTTCACCTTTCCAACAAGTTTCATCAACAAACGGCACTGATAACATAACCGCCTTGGTAGGGTTAAAACTAGTCCAAATGTATGTGTACCAACATCCAGTATATTTCGCACATCTATTTTCAACAGTCTTTCCACAGGTATAACATAATAACACACCTAAAAAACCTATATATGTAATTTTCCTTGAAGGAAAACATTTTCCCACTACCCTATCAAATTCACACACAAAACTAGACATGTGCTGGCTTATAGTGGCAACTGGTGGTTTCAAATAGACCCAATCCACCTACTCAGATTACCTTTTGCTGGCAGAGGAGTCCACAAAATATATTTTTATTACTAGTACAGTTCTGCAATGGACCTTTCTATACTAATAATGTGAACTTGTTTGCATTCCTAAAGTGGGAAGTTTAAGTTAATTCACCCACCTAATTTTACATTGCTGTGGTAATTTAGGACACTACTTTAAAAATGTGAAACATGTATAGCAATTTGTACTTCTTGAAGCAGTTAAGTCCCGTAAGAACTTGTGAACCAACAATATTACGCCCTTGTTGAAGTCACTGACGAGCCGTGTGCTATCTTTAGATTATCTGATAAATGTGTTAAATGTGCCAGACAGTGGGATTGACACTAACTGGCGTGCAGACAGTCAGTGTTTTGTCTGGCACCACTGAAATATAAAGTACAAAAAGAAAACCAATGACATTTATGAATGTTGCATTTGTTAATAGACAACTCCCAGCTTTTGCAAAGCAGATCCTGAGTCTATTTTAAACAATAAGCAGAGTGAACTGAAACACTTTAGAGGCGTGCAGAGATTCTGTAGATATTTAGATAAACTGCAATGACAGTATCCACGTCACAGGGTCAGTTTTCTCTGCACTTCTGTTTATTCTTGAGACAGAATAAACTTTGTAACAGTCAAACAAATAACAGTTTTTGTTGATTGCTTCCTCTTTAGGTTCAAATTCTGGAAGAACAAAAGTATCTTCCTCTTCAATATAGTGGTGGCTGACTTCTTGCTGGTGGCCTGTCTTCCTGCCAAGGCCTACCATTACCAACACCATCAGAGGCGCAGCCAGGACAGCAAGGTGTGTAAGATGATGCTCTTCATGCTGTTCCTCAACCGAGGAGCCAGCATCGCCTTCCTCCTCATCCTGTCCATCGATCGCTACTTCAACGTGGTCCATCTTGGAAGGAGGAATTTTGTCAAAATGCTGAAGAAATCTCCTCAAATCTCCATCATTGTCTGGCTCCTCTTGTTGCCCCTCACCATCCCCACAATGCTGAACACCTTTGAGTGCTGCAACAGCCACGGCCGTAAGGTTGAGACTTTTTATCACGATGTGACTGACACCTTCAGAGAGGTAATGTCTTTGTTTCACTGTATTGATTCAGTATGTATTCACATATACGTAAAAATATACCTATGAAATGCAAACAGACAGACTTTAATGCCCTTAATTGTTTATACTCTCACTGTCATAAAATGTATTAGTCAACCCTGCCAAAGCTAGTAAGAACTACAGTTATTTATACAACCTCATGTCTACACACACACTTCTTATAAATATATTTCCCTATTCCCCTAACTCATAGCTTGCCACAGTCTTCAAGCAAAAATGCCGAAATCCACTCTCAATCGAGAATATTTGTCGGTTTTCGTAGCTTTCTATGACAGTAAATAGAAGTTCTCGACAGGTGAAGGCATTGGCCTCTTGTGATGGAAACATTTCATAATTTGTTTTATAATTTTATGGACAATACAAATAGTTAACAGACTGAGAAAATAAGGACAAGATCAATTGATATTCAATCAAGATTTATTAGCTGTAGCCATGATCTTTACTTCTTATATTCTAATTACAATCTTTCAAAGGTTCTGTGATTATAGCAATCACAAGCATCGTAACAATATACAGTTTTGTTTTGTTTTGTTTAACTCTGCAACAGTTTGCTACAACAACACTTTCTTGAATGTTCTGCAAAAAGACTATCTGAGTTCTTGTAGATCACAAAATGAAGAGTTTTTAGTAAAGGTTTACAGAGATGACTGGGATTGCTGAAGAGTTTAATCCCCAAAAACACACTAACTCACATCACACTAACTTTCATTTAATTTTTTTTAAGACCGTCTTCTTCACCCAGATCATCGTCCCCTTCTTCGTCCTCGTCTACTGCACAGTGCGCATCGTCAACAGACTGAGGAAGAAGACAGTGGGAGAGAAGACCAAACTAAGGAGAGCTATGTGCGTTGTCATGTCTGTTGTCGTCGTCTTCTCCATCTGCTTCCTGCCTTGCGCTATAGCCAGAGCGTTGCTGCTGTTCACCAGGCAGAAACAGGAGTCTGCAGAGGACATAGTGACTCAGGTCTACGACAGCCTCATGGTTTTGTCTTACATGGACTGTCTGCTGGACCCGCTCGTGTACTGCTTCTGCAACTCAGGGTTTAAAGACGCTTACGTATCCGTCTTCTGCCCTACGTTTCTTCGGAAGAAGCTGGCAAATACTGACTTTGGCTTGGGAACAACAACAACCACAATAACAACAACTACAACATGTGGAAATAGAACCATTATTTTGCCAATAACAGAAAAATGATTCTTTTTTTCCCTCTTAAAATTGTAATCAAAACCATCTTCGAGGGAGCACAGGCAATTTATTTACCAGAACAGTAGCATAACCACTGATCCGCCTGCACAGCTTGTTTGCAGCTGCTCTGGTACTCTATGAAAATATCGTTAAAGCAATACTGGTCAAACCAAAGGCAGCACATGTTTGTGGCTTATCTGGAGTCATGAGTCGCCCAGAATTCAAATTATGATTCAAATGCAGTACCCTTTTTTTATTACTCACATAATGTGCCAGCAAAAGGTTCAGTCATGTTATTGGTTTGTGTGTAAACTAATTTTCCATTAAAGGGCAGATCAGAGTTTTAAATAACCTTGTATTGGAGCTATCGAGACCTCTATCCAGAACTATTTCAATGTGAATGTAATGTAAAAAAATAGGTGCAACCTAAGAATCAGCATTAGTCTGTACTGTGAAGAAGACTGTTCAACCAAAACCAAATAACTGCAAACCTCAGTGTGGGTGTACAGGGGCATTAAAGTGTGTTAACGGGGTAGTGTATAAAACTGAGAAACTGTCTGATTTGTCGACTCATGTGACTGCTGTCTAATCTACAGTTGAATACAGAATGCAAAATCATTTAAGGACAGTGTTAAATGTAAATATACCTTTCATCTGCTTGCTTTCAATAGTAGAATTTATATATATTTTATATTATTATATATTTTAATGTATTAGGGCATATATTTTGTGATTGAATTTTGTTGCATATGATGGCCCTTGCAATAACTACAGTAAAGTACGCAGTATGGTACAGAAACAATCCAAACAACAAGCTGCTGCACAGCTCTCTTTCATCACTCAGAGAACTCTGTATCTCTGTGTTCATCATTAGGACCTCAAACAAGTTGTACCTGTTCTTCTCGGGGTTTGGAAACCCCATCACATTACTCAAAAATGTACATTTACATTTCAGTATCTAACTGCTACTTGAAGATTTTGGAACGAATGTCTTCCATGTTCACATTTCCTGTCCACGACTGATGTCTCTTTTATAATCAGAGTAAACTAGCCTGTATACATGTTGGTGTTTAGGAAGTTAAAAATTATGTTTCACAACCAAAATGTCAAACCCAAGTGGACTACAGAAATCTGGAAGGCTGTTTTAAACTTTCCTCATTCACACTGTATACAATTTTGGGCTGTTTATGAATAAAATTGTATTATTTGTATACGATTGTGATCCTGACTGAAGATCTTTGTTTACTGCTGCTGTAAATACACAGAACACAGGTGATACAGAAGAGAGAACCACGATATGGAGACGACTGATATACACACACTGAGAGATGCACTGACATGCAAAGCTTAAACTGTGAAACCAACTTACTCCTCTTCTAATCCCAGACCATTACAAAAAACAACAAGAGATTTACTGATTGGGAAACTCTGGGCCGATACCAACGTGTATAGGTAACATAATATATGTGTATATTAGTGTATAATCACCTGAGAATAGGGAGCGTTGTGTTTTTGTTACCTTAACACAGCTTTTATCTACAGACACCGCAGGTCGCCTTACAAACAAAGAAATCTACAAAAATAAGGATAAAGACATGGCATGTCTTGTGCTTTGTGATGTGAGACACTGTTAGTGTTGCTGCATGGAGCACATCGGTGTTTGCTTGCAATGTGTGCAAGCGCTGCAGAAACAGAGATGATTATTTCTCAGATATCAGAGATTGAGAAAATCAACAAAACATTTAGCGAGCTCAAAACTAATGCAACATAACAGATAAACACTGGCTGCTGATATCAGTGGAAAAACCACATGTTATTTGCTGATAACGATGCCAATGTTCAGCCAATCTGCTGGCTCCATTTTACACCCCTTCGCAGGAAGCAGCAGGTTCCCACGTATCCTAACCTCCCTGTGTGTTTCTGTCTGTCTTCCTGAGACCCTGCCTATAGACATGTTCACCCCTCATTGTGAGGTGCATAGGCTTCGTTCTAGGGAAGGTTGTATGGGTGTTACAACAGGAAGGATGGTGGTGGCTCTCAAGTTGAGGCTAGCAGCAACAACAATAACAGAGAGAAGAGGTATGACAACAAACCAAAGAAAAACACTAGACATCAGTGTTATTGTAGCCGCCTTTTTTGACTGGCTGCATGCTCAGTCTGCTTTCTCAAAGCATGTCCCCTGCACTTTTTCAAAAGGCCGTTCTGGTCCCCTGCAGTTTTTACCATCCAAAAACAATGTTACCCTATAGTAAACAGAGACACGTCAAACACTAGGACCAAGCAGAAAACGGCCGCTCAAGCTGAAGCCTGTTTCCCTTAGTTTAGACCCGCCCACAAGCTCCTGGATTGGCTCTGCCGTTTCTTGTGTGGTTGGCCGTCCCCGCTGTCATTCCATCTTGCTTGCACACTGGTCTGAGAGGAGTTTCAGCGCACTGAGGAGGTTAAAGACCTGGCTTCCCAACTGCATGAAGCAGAAACGCCTGAACAATGTGGCAGTTTTGTCACATACACAAGAAAGGGTTGATGCCTTGGACAGGAAGAAACTCTGCCAGGAATTTATCTCTGCCAATGATCGAAGACAACATGTGTTTGGAAGCTTTGGATGAGTTGATGATGTTGACCCTTCTGTGGTCTTTGGCTCAAATTGACCCTTGTTCACTTTTCACTTACATCAAAAATAGGATTTTCTTCCATATAACTGCCTAAAAATGACAGTGGTTCTCTGTGACACTCATTTCAAATAAAATTGATTACTTGACTACTTACACTGAATTAGGGACATTTTATTCAATTTCTCCCCACCTGTGATATTCCTGCCAGTTTGACCTGCCCACCACTGAGTGTTATGTATGTGTTATGTGTTATGTTTACCATATATTCCAAAAATAAGTGTAAAATTGGTGGTACTGAGTTGGAGTGAAGTTGACTAACAAGGTGAAACACAGAATTGGGTGATAATGTTTTGCTACATGCTTTACAACCAGTCAAACCAAAAAAGGGAACAGTAAACTTAAAAGTAGTAATAGAAAACTAGAAGAACTACTAGAAAACACAGTGAACTGAAAGAGTTAGAGTTTTATTAAAAATACTTGTGTCCCCCCCACCTCTGAAATCAAAATTTCGTCCTTGAATGGCTTAATGTCTGAAGGGGAATGAAATAAAGAGAAACTATCATCATGATAGGTATCTCCTCAACTGAATCTGCTCTGTGCTGTTAAATCTGTTGGAAAGGGGCTGTTGAAAATGCTGCACTGCACTTTGCACTGGGTGTGGTAACAGGAGTAAGGTCCGAGGTTGACACTGATCTCCTGATTTAATTAAAAAAGTTAATTCCATTTTTGATGATGCAGTTACATCAGATAAACACTAATATTGCATAAAGCGCTTTATTTTGATCCTGGGAACCTGAATTTCTTCATTCCAACAAGTAAGCAACACGGCTGTTTCCTGGAATATTAAATTGTGCGTGTTCATAGCTAAACTGTAAACACATCTGCTGATTCTAAAACTATGGATCAAGAATTTATTTATTTTTTGCAAATGCGACAGCTGGATTGCTGGGCTCGGGGGGGGTAAACTGACCTGCTGGAAATGCTTGAAACTAATCTGCACTCTTGGCATAAACCTGTATGAAGGAGTAGATTAAGTCTAAGGTGAGAAAGGGCTGCACTGGCCGTGGAAAGGAAGCTGTCCAAGATTCATACCTTCCTGAACAGTGTCTCTCACCCACTCCACAATGAACTGGTCAAACAGAGGAGGACTTTCAGTGCGAGACACAGGAAGTCATTCCGGCCTGTGGCCATACAACTCTGAGTTATTAGTCATTAAACTGATGCTGTTAATGTGCAATAAGTCGATAACGTGCAATACCCGGATCAACGTGCAATTCACTTGATTATTATGTCATTCTTTATAATTTACAATCTTAAAACTCATTACTATTCATTTAATGTCTGTCAGCAATACTGTGTAATGTTTACACTTATCTTTAGATTTACATTTACTTTGTATATAGGCTCTTATTATTTTATTATATCTCTCAGGCTCTTATCATATTTCTATTTTCCATTTTATTTTTACTTTTTACTATATGTATAAACCTTTTACATTCATTTCTATTCTGTATGTTTTGTTAGATATTGTATATAGGTACTATTCTTTAACATTGTGTGAGTGGAACAACTGTAGTGAACATTTAGAGAAGCCGTTCAACACTGACCTGCTCCCAGTAGAGTCAACAGTCGGCTCTGCTCCTGCAGAACTTTGTGGATCTGCTCAATCTGCCTCTGAACCACCTCATATGGAAGATCTGGTTCCTGCCAACAGACCAACTGTGAGAACTTGACCAATAAAAGAGGACAGTGACTTTCAGAGGCTTTACAATACTGCTACATTGGAACAGTATTGTACAAAATAAACCCTGATATTATTTCTATATAAAGGTCACAATCATTAACTAAAATAAATCCTCCTCTGGTACTACAAATAATACCATTTGTACAAAAAAAACAATGTATATGTTCAGCGGTCTCTTTTTGTGGATATACAAACAATGTATATGTACAAAGAGAAAGCATGTGCCAGTTTACACAGTAACCTAAATCTAATGTAAACACAATAACTGTGCTTTATTATCACAGCTGTAATATTATCCACACACGCCTACAGCAAATTAAACAGCAAAACTGTGGCATTTTATTTGTAGTCTTCACATCCTAAATGAAAACACATGCACATAGCTGGATTGTTGTTAAAAAAAATAACTGCTTCTGCTTCTTCTGCGGCTGATTTCTCCTGTATGAGCAGCACCAATAGCCAGCGTTTAAAACTATTTCCTTTCTATGTTCACACTCTATTGTAACTGCACCGTAAATACTGTAAGAAATAAGAACATTATAGGTAAAATAAAATAAAAAATGAGGTGTTTAAGATACAGATGTTTTCTTTAATCGATGACCTTTTGTGTAACGCAGATTACTTACTTGTTGTACGGGCTTTATGGCTTCAGCATCCAGGTTTGCAGCAGCTTGCTGGTTTTGCCCAATGACGTAAGGGTGACTGTTGCCTGCCATCGGTTCACCCTGAGGGAACAGCGGGTCCAGACGTCTGTCCCCTCGGTGCTCCACCCCACCGGCTCCAGACGTAGGAGAGACAGGTGCAGGAGACTGGTTTGAGTCTCTGCACATCCTCTGGTGCGCTCTGTCCACGGGTATTTCAGCAGACATCACTGGGTGATACTCACACAGCTTCCTTTATACTGAGCTTGTCTTCATCTGAACAGCTGCAACATTTATAGAAGTGGATTAATATAAAATGTCACAGTGAAATGAGAATGAAGTAAAAGGCTGAAATTATATTTGTTTGCATTTGAAACACTCAAAAGTTGGACAAAGTAATTGGAACTGTGAATATTTAGGCTTTATCAGACAAATTGAACAGTCCTACCTCCTCCTTTCACTGACCTTTTCTTTAACTCACTGGGTTTTCTCATATTGGGTTCTTTCTGAAACAGCTGAAACAGGAGTTTTCTGTCAATATATAAGTTAAGTTGTGATCAACGGACAGTTAAACGGTCAACTTTTTAGGGTTTTAATCAAGTGCCAATAGCTTAGACTGTGAGTAATGTGGTTGAATGTTACGTGTTCCTACATTTCGGAAACTTTATATGGGAAAATCAGTTGTTCCAATACAGATAAGTTGTTAGGACTCTAGGGGTTGATCTTGTTCAAGAAGACAGCCTTTGGTCATTCAGCTTCCTCTTCAAAAGTGGCGAGGAGGTGGACACTACAAACGTTAGAGACTCTGGAGTCGGATATCAACTCTGAGTCGATTTAAATAACCAAATAGTTTGAAGAGTGACAAATATTTCTTTAGCTGTAGCTGTAGGCCAGTAGGTCCTGTTCAAACCTCACACATGCATTCTGGGGGTAAAGGTCATTTAAAAAGGGGGTTGAACGGTGGGAAACAGGCTTTTTCTGTTGTTTAGTGTGTTTATATAAGTGGGTTGTTGTTGTATTAAGTACTGATTTGCAATATTCATCATTATTATTGGTTTTGACAATATAGTGCATATACAACATATGTGTAATATACTTTAAATAGCAGTAGTAGCACATGTGGACATACTGGTAGATGCAAGAAATGTGCTTTTACTCCCATTATTTCAAGATAGAAGGTTCATCTAGGGCTCAAACTGAAGCTTATTAATGTGGGAAGTTTTCTATATACAAGGGAGGCAGTAATATTCACCATAAAAGGGCCAGAAAATAGTCATTTTTGAAGAGATTTGTCATCTTTTTTGCTTTTTTTGGGTGATGTGTTAGGTGATACAGAATGGCATGAAGCACCAGAATCTTATTTTTGCCACTTCCTCCTTTGTTTCATGATACTCTCTACACATTTTCATACTTGTATGACTATTTATGAAATTGTAGCAGCTTAATATTTGCATTTTAGATCATTTTGCCAGAAACACGACCCCCCAAAAAAGGGGTTTTGGGGTCCTTCATGGGGGGTCGAGAGGACTTCTTGATTTTAAGGGGTGTAAGAAAAAAGAATTAAAACATGCACAGTGGGCCTAACGTTAAATCACAACTCTTTGTTCATTTCTGTGGAGAAAAGTTGATGTAAGTTGTCTGATAGAACAATGGGAAAGCACCAGGGACAAAAACAAAACACTGAAATTGTCGGAAAAGAATGAAAGAAATACATATTACAGACAGATATTGTACAAAAATCTACTCCAAATTCATCCAAATCCCAGTTTTACACAAACTTGCTGCAGTTCACTGTCTGAGTTCATTGTACAGTTTTGAATATAATGAAATAACCATAAAATATGTCACTTAAATCAGTTTATTAAGTAAAATAAAAAGGGTTGGGAACCGCTGCTGTAAAGAGTTAAACGTTTAATGACAGATAACATTTTATTGTGAGTTATTTTATGAAACATTTAAAGTGAAGTGAGTTTACCTTTGTTGAGTTACCGTTGAGGGAAGTTGACTGTTGCCACGGTTACTGGGCAGCGTCAACTGCGTCACAGCACGTGGTTTGTTTTGTTGTTGTTTTGTTTTTTTGCGTCACAGTTAAACAATGAAACGCTAAACGTAAACGTTTTATCACGTGGCAAACCCGCACTTTAACCCGCACTTTAACCCGCACTAATGTGAGGCTGGAAACGTTTTGAGCACAAAAGGTAACATACAAAAAAACTTCCGGTATGGCCCTTCAAAATAAAAGTAGTAACGCGTTTTAATTTGGAAAGAATTATTAGACTAATGATCAAATTCTGCAGTTTCCATCTTGGGAGCACAAACAATACAGTTATTGGCTTACTTCCCCTTATTACTCTGCAATTTAGTTTATTATTATTATTATTATTATTATTATTATTATTATTAATCTCTGTTTTCTGTTACACCAAAAAATAAATAAATAAATAAAAAATTTAAATATATGAGCAATTGGGTACTTAGCAAATTATACACAGGTCTTTTTTCAATCATTGATTAATTCAGTCATAAAGAAATAAAGCAGCATGGATTCAGATGTTTTGTTGAATGTTGTGAATTTTAGGTCCAGATAGATTTAAAGACAATGTCAAAGCAACACAGGCAAATGTCTGCAGCCCCCATTGGTGCATTATTAATACATCATTTGGTATGAACTCTCACCTTTCTGGTTTCCTGGTTTATGTTCCCTCAGTGGGCTTCGGCCGTGTGCTCATACCTCAGATAAACCACATGATGGCAGCATAACCATGTGTTTTAACAAGGGACAGACTCATGAGCAGGCCTAGAGTTAAATGGAGAGGGGGGGGATAAAAATGTTTGTGTAAAATGAAGGACAGTAATGATGTTAGCTGTGTTGTGTGTGTACAGATTTAGAAAGTGTCCTAAATAAACATGAATAACGATTCCCTGCACAATTCCGGTCACAAATCTTTGTCTCATTGGATTGAGGATCACGATCAGAGCAGTTGGCCAGAGGTCTGCAAATATTTGTCGGATTATTCTGATCTTTAAAACACACGCAGCAGGTTTCCGTTTATAAATGTCCAGGCACAATACCTGAGTGCTGGCACAGATACAGAAACAATGCTGTGACACCTGACTGAGATAGTATGTGTTAACTCATGTTTATAGGAGCTATCGGGACAAAGAAGTAAAGAGATTAAGAATGAACGAACTAGACATGCTCATTGCTGATTTAACTATATTAGTGTAAGTATGAGGCTTAACTGACCCTGACGAAATACAGTCAGCGAAGGAGATTACATTGTTTTCAACAAGTTCCAAAGTGCCTAAAAAAAGTGGACAGACATTACTCAAAGTGTCTAATAATTGGTTAAATAATTGTGTGACATCTTCTATGAAATCTGATCATTGTTCAACAATCATATCAAAAGTATTTGAGTTATTTCTCAGAGTTGAGAACACTTTGGTAAGAGGAAACCAGAAAGTTTTAAAGGACAAGTATAATGAAACCACATGGAGTTGTTTAACTTTTATTCTGACCAATCACAGGGCACTTTGGGTTATTACTGTTCTCTATACGACCACATACCCTGAAAAAACAACTGTGAGTGCGGTCGCAGTGATATATTTTGAGCCAATATTGCCCCTTTTATTAAAAAATGGGATCCAGTCCAGCTGGTGTCATCCTCATTCAATATGATGGATATACTGTATGGCGCAATCTCTCTCTGGCCACACGTTTATTATAGTGTACAGATGAAATGTGTTTTTTCCGTTACCAAAAAAACAACCTCGACAAAGATTAAAGGAGCAAAATGTGTTCGTTTGTTTTTTTACTTTTTACTTAAAACGAAATTGGACACATTTTAATTTATTTAAATGTTTGCACCAAAATCTCAGCCTCCACCAGCTTCTTTCCAAAAATAGTGGTCAGATTTGGCATCGAAAAGCCGGTTGAGGTCCTGCAGCCTGCATCGTGGAGGCGATCCAGCGCAGCGGAGATCCAAGATGGCGCTCTGCCATTTCCAAAGAGACTGATCTCTTCCCTCTCTTGCTTTTTTTTCACCCCCCCAACTCTTGTGATGGCGATGCCAAGCTTTGGAGGGCCTGGCACCGAACACCCTCTCCTCCTCCTGGTGTGTGTGTGTGTGTGTGTTTGTTTGCATGCTGTAGCATCAAAACACACAGATATACTGTACAAACACACATGCAGATTAACAGCGATGACAGATGAGTCACGGACTGGAACATTACTTCAGGCAAAGATCAGAGGAAGGAGGTCATCCAAAAAATCCTGCCCCCGAAAAAAACCCCGACATGCAACCCTGCGCCACAAAAGGGCAAACCCCGAACATATGAATGCATTTTTAATCAAACGATCTCCTGTTCACCTCGTCTGCTGCGAATTCAGCGAGAGAATACGAAGTTCAAAGCATCCAGGTGGTTAACAAAGAGAGAATCTTTTGATCTGCATTTGCAAACCCATGACATTAAGCTGACTTTGTAATTGTAGAATTCATAATTTATTAAATTCCGTGGTGCCTTCTCCGACCGGTATAAAGCGATCTGCGAGCTAAAAAGATATTGCCTTGGACTATTTAATGTTCCCATCGACACTGATATGCATAGTGCAGTGTGTATAGGTTTAAACAGGCCGGTACAAGTCAGGAAACAGAAGGGACACTGTATGATTTAAGAAGTTTTTATTGTGTTTAATTCCACTACAGCAACGTTTCTTTAACGGACCGCCTCAGAAAACATCAGGCTCTACAAGTCCCGCCATTATGACCCAGGTCAAAACAGCGTAGGCCGACTCAATTCAGATACACAGTTAATGCAAGAGGATGCATGGACGAATGCTTGTGCTACGTGCATTAACGCGACTACGTAGCAGGCCGATATTGAAATAAAAATATTACAGGAAAGGCAAAACTTACTGTCAATTACATTTCAGGCAACCTCACAGTTCAAGTATTTGCATTCCAAATGTTGTAGTATTTTTATAGTATGACATGTTCATTTTTGTTTAAGTGCTCTACAAACTTTTAAAAAGAAAACCCAAAGCAAACCCATCTTAAACAATCATCACTTATAAAGCAAACCGAGCAACAGAGACATTATTTTCAACAAAATAAAACTGCGTGTTTGTGCTGAGACTGTGTGGGAGTTTCACTAGATTTTATTCTGGTCATTCTACTAACCTCTCTCTCTCTCTCTCTCTCTCTCTCTCTCTCTCTCTCCCCCCTCTCTCTCTCTCTCTCTCTCTCTCTCTCTCTCTCTCTCTCTCCGGTGTTACATTATAGACACTTTATCTAACATATTAAAATTGTACTGCTTATGTCTGGGAGTATATTTTGTGTGAAGCCTTCTCACAATGCACAGAACCGCAATACACATACGTTTTGAGGCACTGGTATCTCCACTATTAGCAAAGAGAAAGATGTTCCTGTTACATCAGACAGAAATTTACATTTCAAAGCTTTCCCATTTATCAAAATTAGACTAAAGTAGAAAAGATATGAAAAAAAATTATCTACTTATTTGATGTTTATATATTTAAAACGTAAAGCTTTTTGAATCTGTAAGCATGTTATAAGTTTGCGTCCTTACTGGCTGTCATTGGCTATCTTATGCCTTGTTCTTGATTCCTATTGGACAGGAGACCCCTGTCCCTTTCAGACCACAGTATCCATCAGGGTTTTTACTCAGGTACTGTTGGTGGTAATCCTCGGCGTAGTAGAACGGCTTGGCTTCGGTTATTTCTGTTGTGATCGGACCGTAACCGTCCTCTGTCAGTACCTGAAAGAAGCAGAGACAAAGACACAAAGACACAAAGACACAAAGAGGAGTTATTGTGGTAGAAACAACGATAATGAAAGAAAAGAGAGACAATAAGATGAACAGTTCTGTGATCTCTTTGGGAATCACTTTTGGAGCAATAATATAGCACAAATATGTTTATAAGGAACAGAGAAAAAGAACAGAGTGCATGATGGGACCTGTAGTTTGAGCTTCTACGGTTTTTAAAACCTAAAAAGTAGCCTGTTTTTACCCCTAAATTTCGCATTTTAACTGTAAGAAAATTGAGATATCCTGGCTTTTTCTTTGATAACCAACATCTTGTCATGTTTATACCCCTTTATTTCTCTTCCTGAATCCTGTTGTTTGCCTGCATTGAACCAACTTCACCACAAAAACTATTTGACTTTCAAGTAAGGCCTCATTCCACAACGCACTTATGAGCATCTTGGAAACAAGAAGAAACGTGTGTTTGTGCGAAACACACGAGTTGCTCCAGGTAATGGTGAATAGATAGACACACACACACACACACACACACACACACACGCCTGCGCACACACACTCGCAGTAGAATCAGTTGATGATGACACCTTCTCCTCCTCGTGATAAAAATTACTCAACCAGATGGCGTGTGGATAAATTAAAAGACAAAGAGACACGGCGAGCATGAAAAGACACACACACACTTATGAAACTGCAATTCCTGGTGGAGAGGTGTTGTTGTGTGTTTTTTTAGCGCGCGTGTGTGTGTGTGTGTGTGTGTGTGTGTGTGTGTGTGTGTGTGTGTGTGCGCGTGTTATTTGATCATATCATGGAGGATGGAAGAGCCAAATTGGGTTCGACATTTACATGTTTAGTCTTTTATCTGAAAAGCGGCCGATCTTCCTCCTTACACGACAGCCAACCCTCTCTGCGCTGGAAAGAACACAAACACCTCTGATAGAAAACGGGAAGCTCTGAGTAGTCAGACATGTCTGCACACAAAAACACACACACACACACACACACACACACAATCATCATCAGTGTTTCTTAGCGTCAGACTTCCAGCCGTGATGAAGGTACTGTCATTACTGTTCCATATTTATATATTTGGTTAAAGTTGTTGTTTGTGTGGCTGAGGATTCAGGTTAAATATTTAAGGTACCAGTGTGCGGGATTTAGAGGCATCTAGCGGTTAAGTTTCAGACTGCAACTAATTGAACACAGCTCGCATCCCCATGTAGAGCCAGTGTTCGGTTTGTCTGTTCTGGGCTACTGTAGAAACATGGACGGCGATCTGTATTCAGCAGCAAAACTATCACTTTTTCTACTCTTTGCGCTACATTTCCCTGCAGGGGTTCAATAAAGGAACATCTTATCTTATAGCCTAAGTAAATGTTCCCTTCCTTCGCGCCTCCATCCAGTATTTTGTCCACTAGCCAGAGACCCAGAGGTCAGAGGGTCTAAGGGAGTTGACCTGCACCTCAAGCCCAGCAGAGTGCATCTCCTTTTAGACTGAAGGTTCCTGAAGCTTCTACGGGCAAATGCATTTATGCCTAATGGTGTCCTTTATACTAAAACAGTTTTACTAACATTACTTTTTCGCAAATCACAACATATCGCCTTGCTTACAGTATCACAATATATCGGCATATATTGAATCGTAACAGCAGATTCTTGCCAATAACACAGTCCTGTGGCTAATACAAACATTCAGAGTAACTGTTAATCTATAATTACTGTTGTGTATTTTACTCGTGTGGCTGTGTAACATTATGTTTGCAAGATTCATTACTGACTCGATGTGGACCTTTCACTTTCACCTGAAGGACAAGGTTGACTTATTTCACTGCTGGTCTGTACTTTGGTGAGTTCAGTTCAGTTCATTATACTAATTCAGTTTCACCTCTTCATATTAGTTCTAACTATTGTTTACAGTTTCAGCTTTCAACTTCTTCTCATTTGCAATCATTTAAACCTTTCATAGTTTCACAGTTTCCTCCTGTAAAGACTTCAAAGGCCGACTCCTGTCTGAAGCCGTTATTGGAAGTGTCTTTAGCTCTCTGAATAGCTGTGCAGCAACACCCATACTGAGGACAGAGAGTCATTATACAAAGCAGGATAGCTTATTGAAATACAGATGTAGCCCCAATACTTCACACTGTTATCTTCAATATCTCAGAAGGAAATAAGAAATGTTAAAGAGAACAACAAAAATATCATCAATGCGAGACTGTATGATTATACAAACTGTGCAAAACAATACAGAGACAGCAAAGAACAGCAGTAAAAAGTAGATGTAGTGGTATAAAAGTGTAATGAAAGCATTTTGCAGTTTAATGTCAAATGGTACAATTCCTGTTTTGAGTTGGAAAGAACTCCTCTGGGAAATACTAAAAAGTTCTGTTTATTTTTAGTCCAGAAAAAAACAATCAGACTTGCAGGCTAATTTCACACATTGTTGCCTCTAATAGTTAGTGAGAGGTAATTGTTTGAAAAAACATTTTAACTTCATTGACGTCAGCACTCGGAAGTTGTTAAAGAAGATGTCAGCAAACAAACCCGGAGGGTCTGTGATGCTTTTAGAACTGAAAATACCAAAGAGGCGAGAGACGCAAAAGATCTAACGTTGGCAAGATCAGCTTTTAATGGACAGTGTTTGCTCCCCGCTGTTTGATTCATCGCTTCCTGTACAGACACCACGATTTAATTTGAGTTAAGGGTGGAGGTACAACACAGCAGTTAGTCAGAATGTGGCTCTCTGTTGCACTTTATGATTCAGACTGAGGGGGAAAAGACGGATTTTTGCATACAGTAGGCATTTATATAGTACCTTTCATACAAAAAGGACTAAAAATAGTTCTTGTTAAATAAATAAAGTTACTGAAGTGCAGAAATAAACTGCCCCCCCCAAAAAAAACAGAGGCTTTTAGTCTTTAAACTATTTTTTGAGTGTTTGAGCAGACTTCAGCTGTTCTAGAAGTTTATTCCAGATACAATATAGAAACTAAAGGCTACATCAAACTAATGCCTTACAGCAAGAGATCGAGAGTTCGTAACAATCATTTAATGCTTTAAATCATACTTTTAAATAAGTATACTTTAAAATGAACTTTTTCAACACAGAAGTTGCCCGTGCTGTAGAAGAGAACCTGAGTAATGTGCTTTATAACCCAACATGCAGACATACTGCAAACTGCAAAGTTAAAGCATTCAGAAGTCGCTGAATTTTACTTTTTTTGTTTCATAGTTGGCAGCGAAAGAAGAAGTGGGAGTATCTGAGCTTCACAATGCAAAGTGAGGACAAAGCACATATTTTTTATTGTACCTGGAGTGCTATTTGTTTTGTTGTTGTTTTTTTGGAGATATCAGCAGTAGAGATATCTGCCTTCTCTTGAATATAATGGAACTAGATGGCACTCGCCTTGTGGTGCTCAAAAGCGCCACAAAAATACATTTGAAACTCAAGATAATCCACAGACCTTGTTCTGAGCAGGTTGATGGAGGAACTCAATTTCTTCCTACGTATCACAACGCAGAAGACAGCTTGCATCGACTCATGGAGGCTCGTGCTCATGTCAGCGCAGCATGTAAACATTAATGGCAGGGACATGATTTCTTGAAAGAGACATTGTTGTTAAGCTTTTTTAAATGTATTTATTTCACACTTAATGCACCAAATCCAGCCTGGTTTCAGACATGAAGACTAACTATATAAAAATAGACAATCTTCTTGCAAACTTAAGTTAGCCTTAATGAATCATTTCTTAATTCATTCTCTACATTTGACTCATCCTTCGTCCTAGGAGCAGTGGGCAGCTACAGTGCAGCATCCGGGGACCAATTCCAGATCTGAGCCAGTGCCTTGGTCGAGGGCAAGAAACCCACGCAAACACGGGGAGAACGTGCAAACGCCACACAGGAGAGAGCAGCCCCAGCCGGGATTCAAACCCAGGACCTTCTTAAGGGCACCAGTATTAAACTGAGACTGTTTCATAACCATTTCAAAACTCCATGTGGTATGTTATGTCTTCCACCACTGAGCATAATCCACTTCTCAACTGTTAATCAGTATATTTCAAACACTCAAGTTAATACTCACATATATATTTACTCTATAGTGATTTGTTAGAAAAACAACCATTGTTTAAAACATATTAAACATAAAGATCCATGTCAGAGGAAGTAAATTATTCGGCAGGAGTGGTTTGACAAATTTCTCTGGATGTTTAATACGTTCTTTTTCTGGGTGGCCACAGGAATCCACTGTAACTGCTGTAAATTCAACTTGGCTTCTGAAAAGCAACAATCTTTTCAGAGCCACCTTTCAAGCCTAAAGGGTCCCCAGAAAGAAGTGTACTATTCCTTTAAGATGATGAATATCAGCACGAAACAGTGGCTATCTGTGCTAAAAAAAAATATGGGCACTGACATCAGTCCAACACTATTTGTGATACCCAAAATGGCTGCATTTTCCATTATAGGCTCTGTTTTATGTAAAGCACTTTGAATTGCCTTGCTGTTCAAATGTGCCATACAAACAAACTTGCCTTGGCTCGCCTGTACTGGTCTAGGAGCCTCCTCAACCATCCTGCCGCCTGCTTTTTCAGTGTTTCAGTGCGTTTGTTTGGGCTGGTCCTGCTGCTGTGCTAGCAGCCTGCTATAAATGCATAATTCACATCCATTAATTTGCATGTCAGAGAAGTAGATTTCTCATTTGAAATGCAAATACCTTGACTGCTCTGGTAAAGCAGGGAAATGTGAACAATGCTGATAAGCACCCACGAGACAGAGAGAGGAATGAAAAATGGAAAAAAGGTGAAGCTGGCATGTTATAGAGGGATTTCATAGAGGAAAGAGGAGAGAGAGAGAAAGAAAAGAAAAGAAAGAGGAAAGAAAAACATCTGTTTTGTGTTTAGAAGTAGATATATGAATGTTCATGAAAAAAGAAAACGTAGCCGGAGTGTGTGTCGAGAGAGAGAGAGATGCCAGAACAATGAGCACACGCTGCTTTAGCACCCAATGCTTGCACCCACCGAGCGAGCACACATTATTACATAAAGCAAGCATGCAAGTACACACACACACACACACACACACACACACACACACACACACACAGTTACCACTTCCACCTGCCATTTTAGACGCAGTGCACACCCTAATGATGGGTAGGAGGCAAGAGAAGAAAAGGGAGGCTCCTTTCATGCTGCAGACAACCGCCAGCCGCCTGCAAGGTAATTTTCTGCAGTGCTGTTGTTGTACCTTACGCGCGCACAAACACACACACATATATACACACCAAATTCCCCAATCACTCTACGTGTGAACAATACAATCAAGCCAGGCGGCGTAGCGAACATAGTCGATACCCTGACACCAAATTAACCAGACTATTCTCTCTCTTTGTCCCCGCTCCTGGCCTAAAATGTCCCTCTCCTTCCGTCTGTGTATCACTTTTTCACTCTTCCATACATCTTTTATGAAAAAATGTGGCTGAAAAAAAAAGACAATATTTGAGTCAGAGGATCAGAGTGGATACTAATTTAAATTCAGGAAGTGTCTGGTAGGCGTTTCCTGGGAAAAACCTCTGTGCTATGATGCATTTTACATTTTTACAGTTTTGCTTGTAATGGCGGAGAGGAAGAAGGGGGTTGTTAGCATCAGCGGGCCATAGACAAAGAGAAGAAAGCTACCTTACAAAGACTTCATCAACAGCTCCACCCAAGCAAAAAACCATTAATATTTTAAAGATGGGGCTGTAAAAATGCATGCAAAGTCAATGTATGGAGGTGAATGCGGGGAAATCGTGCATCTACTCTCTGAATTATTCAAATCTCCTCGTCTCTCTTGGCATGAAAATGTTCAAATTCAAAGAAGCTTTATGCAGAACATCAGATACAGAGGATTTCCGTCCAAACATCTAGTATGGATATTAAAGAAAAACATAATCAAAACATAATCTGAACAAACCCCGACAGTCAGTGTATGCATGTGTGTGTGTGTGTGTGTGTGTGTGTGTGTGTGTGTGTTGGTTTTGCAACTAAAGCGATTTTTGTGGAGGACAGATTTAAGGCCCAGATGGTTTGGCATGGAGTGTGTTTGCTATAGGCCAACTGCTCACACACACACACACACACACACACACACACACACACACACACACACACACACACACACACACACACACCACAGATGGGAGAGGGTGGGGGAGACAATCTGGTGAGAAAAAAAATGAGAGAGGAAACAAAACCTAGATTGACAGAGAGATGTGGTGGTTAGAGGAAGATCATGTATCTATCAACTGTATCTTTCTATAGGATAGAAACCCCTACAGTTCAAGAAGAGAAAGAAATTGTGTGTATCTGTCCATCTATGATGTCACAACTACCTTCTAGACCAGGACACACACACACACAACACACACACACACACACACACACACACACACACACACACACACACACACACACACACACACACACAGCTACGTGAGAGACAACTCAGAAAGTCTCTCTGCATTAGGTAGATCACAAACGATGCTTTTCTATTACCAGTTATAGCAATTTAAGCTTCACTGAAAGGTATACAGTCCTTTTATTAACCAGGATAAAAGTCTAAAACATTTTCATTTCATATTGGAGAAAAAAACCTGCTATTCTCAGAGCTGCCAGCTAAAAATGGAAATATTGACCTCAGGATGATGAATTTAAAAGGTTTAATTCTCCAATGAGCAGCAACAAGCTAAGCAAACTCATGGCAGGTTGCATGGCATATTATAGATCTAATACATTATATATCTTATCATGAGGATTTTATGACTTTTAGGACTTATGTGTTTGAGTTTATCTTTATTTGTGAAGCATTTGGTAACATGGACTTTGAAAGTGTTCTATAAATGTATAAATGCTGCATATATCCTTAATCCATTTGTTGGTTGGTTGTGCACGTCCTCAGAAATTACTGCGACTCTGGTCTTTGTATATCTCCAGTTTAAAGGTGCGTTCAGACAAATTTCAGCACTGGACCATCTGTGTTTATCTGCTGCAAACAGCCAATGTAGTTGCACCAAATGTGCAGCTGTAAGCTAAGTGGTAATGAATGAAACGAGCTTCTTGGCAAACTGCTGTTTGGTTTTTGAAATATCTTGTGCATGATGCTGTGATACCTTTTGTCTTGTTGCCCTGATTCTGATTCTCTTCCGTCTGCATTGTGCTCTGTTGGATGTGGCACATTTCTGTTTCTCAGTAACATCTGAAAACTCCTTTTTTTAGACAGCGCACAGCTAATTCATCACAGTTCAACTCACAACAAGAGGGAACAAAATATTTATAAAAGAAATCTGCGAATCCGCAACCTCCCAAATCTGGTTTCCAGCTAAGCACACTTGCACAAGTCAACTACTTCTCCAGTTTATGTCCACTAAATGGGCTTTTCTGGGCCCTGAAACTAAATATAAATATAACAAGCTGCATGACATTTTTGTAATTTTGCAATTATTTCACCCTTAAGATACTTTTTGGAAACAACCTTCTGGTATTTCAAGCCTTGGGAATTGTTACTGTATGAGAATTTTAAGCTCCTTTCATGTCCCTTTACATGTTGGTCTTACAATACCTGGTAGATAGATAGATATTCCTTTATTTGTCACACAATGGGGAAATTCCAATGTAACAGCAGCAAAGTGGATAGAGAGATAAAACAGTATAGTGGTAGTATTTCCGTGTAACTTTCAATATGGCAGAAGTCTGAATTGAATGCCGTCAGACGAACGTAAAGATCACAGCAGCACATTGTTAAACATGAGAGAGAAATATAATCTTGCGAGTATATTCACGACTACGTCTATAATGGAATTTCCCCACCATGATATATTTATGTGAGTGTGAATACATTTGTATATTGTGACTGTGAAAGGATAAAAATAGTCTTCTTCATCTTCTATCATGACATTTTTAACGCACCGCTCCCAGGTGCCAAATATTGCACGAGCATCAGATCGTTCTGAATGAAACCGTAAGGAAACGTTAACAATAACAGAGCAACCTCCAGACACCACATATATTTGATAATGTACGTCTATAACCAAACCACACAGCCTGTTGTACTGTGGTACTTTTTGGTTGCTTCCATTCAGTGGGACACTCTAAAACTCCTCACTGTCCTCACTAACCCGCCTTAATTTGGTATTTCACTATTCACTAAAAAACTAAAATACAATGTTAAACCTCTTTCCTACCACAAATTCTAGCGCACTACATATATAAATAGCAGTAAGAAAGGAGAAAGTCAAAAGTTTAACTGGCTATGCTGAATTTAAGGGTGTGCTGCAGCCCCCTCAGCAGCCCTACCTCCCACCTCCATGTTAGGATATTCTTTGTTTCTCTGTTTATTTCATCCTTCCTGTTTCACAAATGGAATTTTCTTTTCTTTAATTGGCAGCTATAAATTAAAACTGAGGCCATCGCTAAAGTCATTAAGGAGAAAACTGCAATAACGCTCTCTAGTTGCAAATCCACTGAAGTGCTTGAACCCAGGAACCAGGGAATCAGCTAGTGTTTCCATGAGATCATAAATACAGAGTTTGATTTGTTCAGAGGCTGAGACTGAGACTGAGATGGAGGTAGAACGAGTAAAAGAGAGAGAGAGAGAGAGAGAGACTTTAATCCTGCTAAAAAGAAACAAGGTTTTATACAGAAAAAGGAGCAGTGAACAAGAGGACGAATAAGAGAGAAAAAGGGGGGGACTCTAATGAAGACCAGACTACACTAGAATAGAAAAGAAAAGAATAGAGTAACCCTCCTCCTCCTCGTCAGTTTCCATGGCAACAAGCCCTGTTGGTGGGATAGTGGTGCAGAAGTCTCAGCAGGAGAGAGTTCAGCAGAGGGAGCATGTGAACATCGTGTGTGTGTGTGTGTGTGTGTGTGTGTGTGTGTGTACTTTAAAAGCATATGGGCATTTATGGCAAATGTTACACACACACACACATATACAGTTTCATTATATTTCAGTATTCATCTGTCATCTGTGTTTCTGAGACAGACTGAAAGAGAAGAAAGATGGGTGGCAGAGGGGGATGCTGGGAAATGGAGTCCGAGAGAAAAGACTGGATGGAAGAGAAAGATTACATGGAGGGATGGAAAGAGAGAGAGAGAGAGAGAGAGAGAGAGAGAGAGAGAGAGAGAGAGAGAGAGAGAGAGGAGATTCGACAATGATAGAATGATGAATAGATGTGTGTGTGTACCTTCTGGTATTGATCTTTGGAGGCCAAAGCTTCCTCGAGATGCTGCTTTGTGTAGGTGTAGATGGCGGAGCGGTATGTCGTCCCAATATCGTTCCCCTGTCGCATCCCTGAGACACACACACACACACACACACACACACACACACACACACACAAAAATGTGAATGTTTCAGCTGACGTGAGGAGCCTTCGTCTTCGGTTCTTGGCAGAGGCGACATCACATCATCTGAAAACAACAGCTGACAGCATTTCCAAAAATATAACTTGTCTGTCTTGGCAGAAGTGAACGCTGTTTTTTTGACTGTGAACTGATCATTCCATCACATATCCTTTCATCATTTCAATGTCAGCTCGTCAGCCTGTCAACCACAATGTTTGGTTAGCTCAAAGGTTTGAGCCACTTTGAGCGGCGTGGCTCTAGAGAAGGCAATGTATGTCAGTCAATCTGTCGTTTGCACACTTAGTTTTGTTACAGACATTTATGCCCCCCAGAGTTTAAATCCTGATGACCTTGATCAACCTCCTACTTTTGATCTTGCGCGACTGACATGTCCGATTTTCACATTTGAGTTCATGACAGGATACGACTGAAACCCATTAGCCTCACCTGTGCGTGCTCACACTGGCCTGCTAACACATTTGTAACATTAAAAATTACAGTTAGATAATAAACCAAAACAAGTTTACATTGTTGGGTTGGAGGGTTACTTTAAAAAGTGTAATCTGATACAGTCACTAATTATCTGATCCAAGTATCCCAATATTAAAGTGACGTAACTTTATCAGTTTCCACTTTTGGATGACCAAATATGCAAATAAAGACACAAACCTTTAACATTTTCTATAAGACAACAGAACAATGTTACCTTAGAAAAGAAAAGCATTTTTATCATCAAGCATGTGTCCTCAGCTCATTTTTAAAGAACATTTTCATTAAGCAAATTAAGGCAACAGACCATTTTCATAGCTGGAAGGCGGAACTTGAACTGTACTGTGAAATTGTTCCCCTTTTCTGCTGCAAAGATACACCGATCAGCCGAACCATCATGGCCACTGACAGGTGAAGTGAATAACACTGATTATCTCGTTACCATGGCACCTGTCAGTGGGTGGGATATATAAGGCAGCAAGTGAACATTTTGTCCTCACAGTTGATGTGTTAGAGGAGCAGGGAAAAATGGGCAAGCGTAAGGATTTGAGCGACTTTGACAAGGGCCAAATTGTGATGGCAAGACTGCTGGGTCAGAGCATCTCCAAAACCGCAGCTCTTGTGGGGTGTTCCCGGTCTGCAGTGGTCGGTATCTATCAAATGTGGTCCAAGGAAGGAAAAGCGGTGAACCGGAGACAGGGTCACGGGCGACCGAGGCTCATTGATGCACACGGGGAGAGAAGGCTGGCCTGTGTGGTCCGATCCAACAGACGAGCTACTGTAGCTCAAATTGCAGAAAAAGTGAATGCTGGTTCTGATAGAAAGGTGTCAGAACACACGGTGCATCGCACTTTGTTGCGTTTGGGGCTGCGTGGCCGTAGACCAGTCACGGTGCCCATGCTGGCCCGAGTCCACTGCCAAAAGCGCCTACAATGGGCACACGAGCATCAGAACTGGACCACGGAGCAATGGAAGAAGGTGGCCTGGTCTGATGAATCATGTTTTCTTTTACACTACGTGGATGGCCGGGTGCGTGTGCGCCGCTTACCTGGACCAGGATGCACTATGGGAAGAATTCAAGCCGGCAAAAACAGTGTGATGCTCTGGGCGATGTTCTGCTGGGAAACCTTGGGTCCTGCAATTCATGTGGATGCTTTGACGTGCACCACCTACCTGAGCACTGTTGCAGACCACGTACACTCCTTTATGGAAACGGTGTTCCCTGATGGCAGCGGCCTCTTTCAGCAGGATAATGTGCCGTGCCACAAAGCAAAAATGGTTCAGGAGTGGTTCGTGGAACACAACAACGAGTTCAAGGTGTTGACCTGGCCTCCAGATTCCCCTGATCTCAATCCAATGGAGCATCTGTGGGACGTGTTGGACAAACAAGTCCGATCCATGGAGGCCCCACCTAACAACTTACAGGACTTAAAGGATCTGCTGCTAACGTCTTGGTGCCAGATACCACAGCACACCTTCAGAGGTCTAGTGGAGTCAATGCCTCAGCGGGTCACGGCTGTTTTGGCGGCGAACGGGGAACCTACGCAATATTAGGCGACAGTGTAATGTTATGGCTGATCGGTGTAAAATAATGGTCCACCCAGTGAAAGCTGAAATATTATCTATGATTTCACTGTAAGTGTTATAATGTGTGCTCACTGTGCATGTGCATGGTAGTATAATGTTCTTTATTTTTCATGTATTTTAAAGTTGAAAAGCTGCTATTTATCCCATTTTTTACTAAATGTAACTGTAATCTGTAGCTGTAATGGACAGTTACACTTGTTTTTGTATCGTGATTACGTAACTCTGTTACATGTAATCCGTTTCTCCACAAGCTGGCATGTGTGTATGCTAAAGTTAATATGTTAACTAAATGTGACCATGTTAAAATGCTATCGTTAGCTTCTTAACACATAAAAACATAGGAAATCTAGCAGTGATAAATTTAAGGAAAACACCAAAAGGCTTCAAGAAAGAAGGTGAAACATCTTCAAGAATCTAAAGCACTAATAAACAACAACCTGGGTGACTAAGAACCTTCACAAACAACGACAAAATGAAATGTTATTTGCTAAACTGTCAGCATATGTTGTTTCTAACCATACTGAATGTACTGCACAGTAGTACTTTATTTATACAGGGGACATTGTTGTGCAGCAGTTGTAATACAAAGTAGAAGATAGTGCTATAGAGCATAGGTAGCATAGCAATAGACTTTTAGTCTTGTTGTCCCCTAAAGGTACACTGCAATAAAACACATGAGATGACTCAAGATATTTATTATTTATCATAGTGAAAGTAGTAGCAAGAATTTGGTGAGGTTGCCACTGTAACGCTGTTCATCTGCCATCCAAATCAGTATTATTGTTGGTGCTCTTTAATATAATTTCCTGGTTAAAATCAGAGAAAAAAATAAGCCAAAGAGAAAATATAGTTTCATCCAGTCTGAGGAATAAATGTGGCAAAAAACATCAGACAGACTGATAGTCTTCCCTGTATCAAGCACCCTTTTCATTCTATTTATCAATAAAAACAAACTTAGCTCTATCCTTTAGGGGTTCAGTTGTGAGTGTGTCTGTGGCTGAGATACCTTGAGTCGGGTTATGGCTTTCCCAGAAAACTTTGAGCAGGTTGGCAAAGCTGATCTTCTCTGGATGGAAGACGACTCTCACCACCTCGTTGTGGCCGGTCCTTCCTGCAAAATTCAACATCTGTGAGTTCACGTGTGTTTGGAGTCTGAACAGAGGTAGAAAACACTGTTATCGCACTCAACCCAGGCTGTGAGTTTAAAGGACGGGGGCGAGGTTTGTTGGTTTGTTTACACCACTAGCATAGGCGCTAACATGGGAGAATGAGCCTCCGAGACCAACGGCGGCCAGGTGATTTACAGCGGCTCGGACCAGGACTCCAACTCTGGTGATGGCGAAGAAATAGCGGATTCAGGCGGGACCTGGATGAATCGGGAAGCGGGGCGTGTTTGTAGCCAGTTAGTTAGTCAGTAACTCTTAATGTTATACATCATCTATCATATCGATTAGTCCGTATTTGTTTTTGTGAAGTTGTGTGATGTTGAAAATAAATGAACCAAATGTTCAGTCTCCTTGCTGGTTGTTCCGACACAATGGATTTAACTAACAACTACAAGTCGACAAGGAAAATCTTTAGCTGGGAGCTGTCATATAACAACTGCTGATGAAGACTGTGAAAGCTCTGGAACAAGTGAGCATATGGACCTTGAAGCTGAGCTTCCCCCCCCCCAAAGGTCAAAACCTAAAATACTAAGTAGAGACTCATCGAATGTACAACTAAAGACAAAACACAGGTATTGTCCTTGAAAAGGAGCTCCTATTAGTCCAAAGCTGATTATAATGTTCAACCATAACAAACGATCAGTCCTGCAGACAGACAGATAGCAGCTGGTGTTGGTAATGAGTGTGACCCATTACGCTGCACCTCATCTTCCTCCCGTCTCTCATTCTACCTCCACTCCTATCTCTCTCTCTTATTGCTTTTTTAATATCAGGAGTTATGGATTCCTACGGTAGATACCAGCGAACAGAGACAAAGCAGCGGTCGATATTAAATTAATGCCTCGGCAGGCCAATCTCGCAGGAATAAATTCATCTCGGACATGAAATAAAGTAGTGTTTAGAACCAGAGCTGAGAATGAAGCTGCAGAGAGTTGTTGTCCACGTAATGTAGATTTAACTGTATAATAAGCTTACTTTCTCATTATGTCAATAATTCAACGCAAACAACTGACCGCGTTTGATAGTTAACCATATAAGAGCAAAGACAGTGACTTCTAAAGAAACAATAGCAGATATAAGTATTTATTACATTATATATAAAAAGATACTGAACTACACTTTTATTTGTACCTTACTTGGAGTTTTATTAACCTTGTTTTCCTCATTTAAAACATTATTCATTGATTATTTTTTAGCTGTACAACAAGCTGTAAACACAACTTGACATATTATCTCCTTATAAAGCCAATATAACTAATGTGTTAGCAGCAGCCGTTGCTTATTTACACACACAGACATTGAGAAACATTATCATTCGTTAGGAGTCGTGTTTCTGGCCACCTGATGAACATAAGTCCAATATTCACTCTCCTTTTAGCTCTGTTTTTGGACTCCACCAACTCCAGAAGGAAATATTTCACACTTCATCGACTAAATGCGCAACGGTGTTCACCAGTGTGGAGGCGTCAATACATGCGACCTCCTTTCACATTACACGTTGTCATCCAGCTGTGAAGTCGCAGAGTGAAACCATTTGAATAAAGCTCAGACTTCCAAGTGTGTAGGAGAAACTACGGTGGCCACGTAAATACGCAATTATTGTGATTATACACAAATGAAAACATACCTATGAATATTATATTCAGTTTCTGCCAATAGATCCTCATAAATGTTACACACTGGACAATATAAAATGTTAACAGCTTTAACAAAAGAGTGTTCCTATAACCACTCATAAAAGAACATTTTCTTCTGGTCAGCACCAAATAAAAAGTACCCAGCTCTAACATTAGCAGTAGAGCATTTCAGCACATTATTAAATCACATCCTTAATTTTCCCTTTAACCATCACACCCAACATCCTGCCACTGTCAGCTCCTAGGAAGTTATAAAAACTCCTCCCTTCAAATCTTTCAAAGTTACAACATAACTTGAAATAATGACCTTTCACCTTTATGACATTATTTTATCTGGTTAATATTTAGTTGGTTTTGTTTAATGGATTGTTTTGCAGTGCATTTATAATAGATTATTATGTTTAATAATGCCTGAAGAAGGATAAATTGGTTTAATTTATTGATTAAATCCTCTGTTAAAAGTGAGTGTTCTTATTTGTAATATTTTCTTTGTGATATTCCCTTTTTATGTTGTATGTTTACCCCTCACCAGATGTTCTACGCCACCACTATTGTAGTTTTTCAGCTATTAAAAAGTAAAAGTAAACATACATTTCTTTGACTGCAGGGGAATAAAGCTTTGAAAACAATTCAACATAGTGTGAGAGACAAGAACTGCAAATGAGAAGAATCATGAAGTGTGTGGGAGTGTTTTTTTAAATTTGGTAGGACAGGTAGATATTTTTCAAAAACAAAAAAAGTAAAAAAAAAGTAAATTTAATCAGCACAATGTGAACCTACGCTGATGCGACTCTAAATATTTAACCAACAATGAATATGCAAATCAATCGATGTTTCTTTTTTGTCTCTCCTGAAGATGGAAAGGTGAGTGGAGCACTTCATTCAGCCACGTGCCGTCTTTCAGTGCTCCGCCAAGGTACCGCGCTAATTAAAAAAAACACACATCGAGCACTTCAAACCAGGTTCAAATCCAGTCGCTGCTTCATTAGCAGGCTGAAGTATGCAAATAAAGTGATATAATAAAGGAATATGACGACAAACAAATGTGTATTACAACAACTCCCATTCACAAAATATTCAGAATAATAATAATAATATAAATGTAAACCTCAAGACTGTTGGTCTTATTACAATTAAAGATTAAGGTAACTTTGAAAAGATCACATAAGTATGTGTATAAAAACCCTCAACCTGGAGTCATAGTCCTCCTTCGCTCACAATACTCCTCACCATATGAATCACACACACAACCTGTGTCCTCAAGCATCTCAAATCTATTCATGAGTTTTTTTACTTACATTCGCCAAATCGAGAGCAAGAGCAAGAAAACGGGCCCGCTGGATGCTTCCTGGATGCAATGTGTGCATGTTCTGCAACTGCGAGAGTTTTTAATATCAGTATCATTTAGCCAATAAATGAGTTTATAAATGGCAATCACAAGAGTTATGAGAGACTCTCTGTTTGGACAATTATTGGCTGGATTGGCATGAAATTTTGTAGAGGCGTTCATGGTCCGCAGAGCATAGAACCGACTGACTTTGGGGATCTCCTCATTTTTCCTATAGCGCCACCATGAGTTCAACATTTGTGGAATTTTTATTATTTATACTATTTATTCTACTGACCTCTAAACAGTTCATCCAGATTGTTGCAGTCTAAAATGCCTGATTTAAAACTGCGAACATTGTTGTCATTAAAAATAAAGAGAATACAATTGCTATGGCTCAACGTTTTGCGAAGGGAACTGCTGTAATTAATGAAACTCACAATTATTGGTCTGCAAGGGACCCTTCAGTAACTGGATGGCAATCTTATATGGATGGGAATCTTAGCTTTATTCAAATTGTACATATAAGTTCGACACTTGGAAAGACAACAGCCAGAAATAGAGAAAAAACAGACCATTGAAAAGTAGAAAATTATACACTTCGTGGGCCAGCTTGCCTTCAAACGTGCAGACTTTAGGGAGACGCCACCGCAGTGATGGTGACTTGTTTACTTCGGGTACTTCCCAGGATTTGTATATAAGATGGTGAACAGTGCTAAACATCAGCATGTTAGCACGTCGACCCTTAGACTTGTTACAATACCTTCAGTCCTTATTAGCTCATCTTTTTCTGATACCACTATCGTTGAATTTGCTGTGTTTTATCCAATGATATTATCTCACTGTACAGCTGTGCACCAACATGCATAGTGAAGACAGAAAATATAAATTAATCAACTTCTCTTTTCCGGCTGTTTGACAGTTATTCATTTATGTTGAGTGTCTAGAAAAACTAAAACTAGAGTTAGAAAGAAAAAGAGACAGGTGGCGATGCAGGTCTAATGATGAGGATTCACTCTGTACCGGCTGGCTGGAGGAATCACTCGGAGGTCTGGACACACATCACACAGAAATACACAAACACACACACAAACACACACACACACACAAACACAGTCGGCTCTGAGTGGTCAGGCATCAATAGCAGCCTTATCCATGCCCCGGTATAATAGGGCCTGGGGGAAATTATTCACTCTACTGTTTATGTGTGTCTTGTTTTCCACAATCTATTGACTCTCAGCAGACAAACACACTGCCCATTACACTGTATGTGTTTGTGTGTGTGTGTGTGTGTGTGTGTGTGTGTGTGTGTGTGTATGTGTGTATCGGTATGCAGAAGCTACCTGTGCAGACTTCCTTGTAGGTGGGGTTGGATGTGTACCCTCCCGAGTAGCCCACTTGGGTGGAATAAACCCCATTTTGCATCCACAACTTCCTCTCCGCTCCCCAGAAACAGCCCATACCTTTAAGAAAAAAAGACATCACAGCTATGATTAACAGCAGCAGCAGCAGCCTTTAACGTCCCAAGACAACAAGAAGAGATAAGGCCTGGTCACACTATGCATCACAGTATTTACTTTAGCCTCAGAGCTGCAACAGTTGGTCAATTTAATTATTTTTCAGAGAAATATGGCAAACGTTCTCTGGTTCCAGCTTCTAAAATGTGAGGTTTTGCCCTTTTTCTTTGTCACATATGACTGCAAACTGAACATATTAAGGTTTTAGGCTTTAGGTTAGTCGGGAAAAACAAGCAATCTGAAGACATCGCCGTGGACTCAAAGATATTTGGAATCGCATTTTTTCCCTTTTAAAAGACTAAACGATCATTCAATGAACCGAGGAACTAATTTGCAGATTAACTGATGATAGAAATGAATCTTTAGTTGCAGCCCTTCTTAAAAAAGACTAAACGATTACACATTCGGAGTAATGAACCTATCAGAAAGGCTGTACTACGACGGCAGTCTGCATCTACTCCAGTGAGCGGAGCTGTGTGTTGAAGGGATCGTAGCGGCCATTAAAGAAGTTGCATCACAATCTAATGATCTATTTCTATGACGAAAATCATGCCAGTGAAAACGTCCAAAGTATTAGCCTGCGGGATTTCACTCAATGGATTTGAGTCTGTACGGATCAACTATTGCACCACTGCTCTGCAATGGTTATAGTAACCCAACCAAGTGGTTTCCAGTCAGCTTGTTAGCTTCTATTCAATTTAATGGCGGTTTACAAAAGTGTAAAAACAATGTGACCAACTCTTGCTGGAGTTAACAAAATCCCCTGACTGAGCTCAACGATTTAAACATTGTGTAGCAGCCCTGCAGAGATATTTCAGCACCATGGAGAGTGCCCCAGGCTACAGCTAATACAAGTTATATTCAATGTGTGTATATATGTTAATAATTATAGTATTGTATGTATGAACTTGACAAAATGTACAGCAAAATATGGATTTGGCTCAATTGGTTTGAAGCTATAATTTGTAACATTTCAGCATTAAATGGTCTATAAACACTAGACCTATGTTTATTTTCTTGTTTTAAGCCACATTTTTTACAATACACTTTTTAGATCTTGTAGTTTTCAACTGTATAATTTATGTTAACGGATGAAGGATTTTAGTTATCAGACGAACATGCTGAGTTAACGTTAGCAGCGGCTCGGCTCACTGCCCCTCCGGGACGTCCGAACAGCGCCGGAGAAACAGTGATTTTTAAGGTGAAATGTTTTTTTAATCAGAGGATACTTACCGAACATGACCATCTCAGTCCCCTCTGGGAAAGGTGGAACAGTCTTGTTGCCGTTCACATCATGTTTGGCTGCGGGAGACAGTGAGACAGAGACAGAATGAGGCTTTGAACATTAAAATAACAAGATCAAACATAAAATGGTGTGTAGATGGCAAATATAAGCACCTGAGCTTCTTTTTGATTACTGTGTACTCAAACTGGAAGGCACTGAAATGATTCCCAAACAACCATATGTACAATATATTTCACATGAAAGACTTCACCAAAAAACACAAATCTAAGTACTGAATTTCCCTCACGCACACACGCGCACACACACACACACACACACACACACACACACACACACACACACACACACACACACACACACACACACACACACACACACACACACACAGTGACCCACTTTAATAGTGGCGAGCAGCTCTGCTTAATTTCATACGAGCTGCATTCACTCCAATCAACACAGAGCCAGAGGTGCATGAGGACCCATTTGAGGCCACCCAGCCACCTGGCTGAGCTGGAGGCTGTGTGTGTGTGTGTGTGTGTGTGTGTGTGTGTGTGTGTGTGTGTGTGTGTGTGTGTGTGTGTGTACAGATGGCTTGCTGTACAATGCTGTGGGGGGAAGGAGATGGATTAAAATAAATGGGATGGGGTAGAATGAGAATGAACCCAACATCTGGATCGCCCCTCCTTACGCCATCCCCCTTCTTTACACACACACACACACACACACAAACTTCATGCAATGATGCATAATTGGTGTGTGGGGCAGCATGCCTATAGACAAAAGCAGGCAGATGGATACTGCCAACCAATCAGCAAACACACTCACACACACACCAAAGCGTGATTCGTGAGGAGGACTTCAACGTGACAATCAGTATAGATTATTCTAGACTCTCCATTTACGACTCAGATCGTTTTAAATTTGTGTACACACATCATCCGAATCTCTGTGAGACATCCTTGTTTGTCTGATTACATGAGCAGCCTTTCATCAAGTGTCTGAAGACTTCTGTCAGACACATTCTTCCTCTATATTCGGAGGGAGGAAGGCTTGGAGCCGCTCCATTTTCTATCTTGTTTGGGTGTAGGGGAGGAAAAGGGCTGCAGCTCCTCACCTCCAGTCTCTATACAGTCTCTACTGCTAATTTAGCTTCACATCATGCAGTATTCCAGTACTGTCACATAGATCCACACAAAGGATGCTTCCAGCTCACTGCATTTGGATAAAAAGAGATATTAAATCAGCCTACTCCTTTAATGTTGGTTGATGAAATAAGGGAGGAAACCAGTCAAATAACATAAAAAGAGAAAGAAAGACACTTTCCATTATATTAAATTGTCTTTAAATAGAGGAATCACATCATCATAATACAAAAAAATACCCCTAAAATTAACCTGGAATTCCTGGGTGATATTTTGCACGAAACTGATCGAATTTGAGGCTCCTGAAAATCACTTGGCCTCGTTCCAAAAAACATCAGCCTTCGAGAACTTGTACCATGATTTCAAAATGAAGATTTAAGATCCTGCATCTTAACACTGCTACAGATCTAATCTTTCCTCCTCCTCCTCCTTCCTCCTCCTCCCACATTATCCTCTGTGTGTGTTAGTAATGGCTGCCTTCAGGGACCAGCGAAGGCATGTTCATTACTGGCTACAGACACACACACACACACACACACACACACACACACACACACACACAAACACACACACACACAAAACACACACACACATAGACGCACACACATACACTGAGAGATAAACAATTTAAATGTAAATGTCAGTGGGGGAAAGACAATACGTCCAGACAGAATACTAATGAGTCTAACAGCTCTGTGTGTGTGTGTGTGTGTGTGTGTGTGTGTGTGTGTGTGTGCATGTGCTTGTGTTCATGCATGTGTGTGGAGAGCATTATTAAGTATAAAACAAAAGCTGGAAGCAGAAGATGCAGATCAGCTGTGTGTTACCTATCTCTTAATGTACCTCTAAAGACATGTATGCTGTGAAATGTACACGCCCGCCTTAGATAATAACTATTATCATAGACTGTGAACACACACACACACACACACACACACACACACACACACACACACACACACACACACACACACACACACACACACACACCTGTGTAGTTATTTCTGGGAAGCTCAGACGATGATCTGATGAAACCACAATCTTTTCATCGATATTTACTGGTGATTTTGTAATTGTTCTAAGGAGCTGCTTTCCTGAACAAGACTTGATGTTTGCTCTGCTCACGTGTGTTTAAGTTCCCACAGAAACTGATGCAGCACGAGCACAGAGTTTGGATTTGTTCTGCCACTGGAAAATCACAAACTACAGTACCTGTGCAGGATTTGTGGTGTAGACCTGTGCTGCTACTGACCATACAAACTGTTATTTTATGTATGGCTGGTATATTATTTTAATGGGCTTTTAAAGCAACATTATGTAACTTTTCTACCTGAAAACAACAACTTTAAACACTGAGTTGTAATAGAGTGAATGCAGCCTCTGTCATTCCCCCTCTGCACCCTGTACACCTGTTCTTGCACTATGTAAGTTTTGGCTCCGGGTCACACACCAGCAACTGTGTCACTGGATCAGATTTTATGGAGAAAATGTTTTCTGGTTTTCCCTCTGATGTCCTCCGGCTGCTCTGCCTTCAACTCTCTGTGATTTACAGAGTTTCCTGATGGACACTGAAGTAGCTGCTGCACAAATAAGCTGCTGTTAGCTTGTTAGCTTAGCCTTACTGCCCTGGGACTGGGTGTGCAGAGAGCCGGGGCAATTTTGGAGGTTACAGGGCGAGCAGGGTCCAAAGCAGGACAGCTGGGAAAAGGAAGTTTTCAGTCCTCGGGACAGGCTGGGAAGGGGGATGCTGACTGGGAATGACGCCCAGCGTTATGCCAGAGCAGACCCAGGGTGGGCAATGTAGTTTAATGGTGCCACATCTGGAGGATGGAGGATGGAGCTAGAACCGGGGGATGATTAACTTAGCTTAGCATACAGACTGGAAGCAGAGGGAAACAGCTAGCCTCTGTCAGAGTTAAAACATCCCCTTCATCTGCACGTGTAAAGCTCACTGACTAACACATTGTATCTGATTTGTTTAATCCATATACAACCAAGAGTCATAAGCACCATTAGGCGTGAATTTAGCCTCTTTTGCACCCTTTGCACTTTTTGCACATGCATTTTGCTTTCCAAGTTTCAAGCTTCCAGAGCTGCAATTAGTAAATAAAGTAAATATACTATAAAATAAAAATAGCCTAATAACCACAAGAGGCCAAGACGACAGATATATAATTATATAATTTCGCGAACAAAGAAAGAGATAGAAAATAAACACCTTTTCAAAAACATTCATTAATATTCTACAGTTATCTTTTTATGGAGACACACACACACACACACACACACACACACACACATTCTGTATATACAGAGGCATTTTTCTAAGAGAGTAATTATTCGATGTGGCACTCCTTTGAAATGCCTGTTCTCGTGGTCGCCTTTATCTCTCTTGGAATGATAACAACACTTCTAGTTGATTAATTGAATTCATATACTAGTGTAAGGTCGAATGCAACAGTGTGTGTGTGTGTGTGTGTGTGTGTGTGTGTGTATCTGTGTGTGAGAGAGACTCAAGATTATGGGTTTATTGTATTTTCGCAGCATTGCTTAACCTTGCATTAACGCTCTTATCTGAGCAGACTGAAGAAACAAATATATTCAGGCTGGGCATCTAAAAATACACACGTCGTTTCTCACAATGCACAACTGACACTCGTGTTGTTATTTAAACAGAAGGAAGAGGAGTGCAGGTTGCTTTCGGTCCTTGTTTCCATGAGCAGAATTAATTTTTATTTCAACTATATAAAAGCCGTTTCTGACTGTTTGTACTAGCAACAAATTTTCTTTTATTTGGCAGTAAAGAGGAGAGAAAGAGGTTAGAAAACACTTCACATCAAACAGCTAGCCACTTCATTTCAGTACGCGTGTGTGTGTGTGTGTGTGTGTGTGTGTGTGTGTGTGTGTGTGTGTGTGTGTGTGTGTGCGTGTGTGTGTGTGTACAGCTGTGTGAATGTGTGACAGTAACCAGTGTGCCTCCCAGTCTCTTCTACAGCTCCGTAAATCCTGTCACAATAATAAGCCTGATCACAGAACAGGCCTTTATCCATGGCGACATCTGTGACACACACACACACACACACACACACACACACACACACACACACACACACACACACACACACACACACACTCTCCATTAGTGCTGCTCTATTTCAGCTCAGGCCCTACATGTGTGTGAAGGCAGGCATTGCTGCTCCAGAATCAGCCAATCAGAACTCTGTTTTATCTTCGTGTCCTTTCATCACTTTTTTATGTTCTGGAGTGAAACCACAGAATAACATAAAATAAAACAGGTCAGCCTTTAATGTATTGTTGTATAATGACAACATACAGTACATGTATCATTATAAGGATTTCACTTTTATGAATTAGCATCCTATGGACCCATTAAAATTAGATACATTATGATGTAAAGAGGTGAGTTTCACCACATTTTGCCTTTACAAGATGAACCAGAAGTACGGTTACGTCATCCTGCACACAGAGCTGACTGTGAAATGCTGAGTCAGGCTCCTGCGTCAGTCTTTCTGTAGCTCTTTTATCTTTTACTTCTTTCTTGACTTTTCTTCTTCCTTCCATTGTTCACCAGAAACATAATGAAACCCATTCTGGCTGCAGCGAAAAACAACCTCAAATTATATCAACACTGCAACCAATTCTTACTTTTCCTTTACGCCTTTATTTAGATAGCTGACAGAAGCAGGGATGGACATAAGTACTCGAGTACTCCTCGGCCAATGTACACAAATGTGAAAACATTAAATAGTGATAGATACTCTTATAGACACACACTCGAAGCAGTATTGTTGCATCACTTCCAGCTCCGATTGCTAAAGCACACGATAAAGTAAGCTTCAAAAACAAGTGTAGCAACGCCTGTAAACACGTTTGGCAGCTTTTTGTCTCTTTTT